CTTAACTTCTTTCAGGACAGTGTAATCCAATTTAGAAATACACAACACATAACTGTAGCAGCTTGTAGTACCCAAACATCCATCATCACTTTGCAGGCATAGAGAAATGCAGCTTCTGTTTTTACAGCAACTCTCCATTTTGCTTAAATTGCAAACAATCACGATTGATAGGTGTCTATAATCATTCTGTTAAGGTGTGACTAATAACTGGAATGTGAATGTGAAAATACAGTAAGAAAGTAAGTAAGTCACACTGAAGGAGGCTGCAGAACGGCAACTATTTATAAAGCAATGATAACACTTTTAAATATTGTTTACATTCAAACCCTGTCCACGTAGCATCAAGTGATGGTTTTGGTGCATAATTTACATTAGGTATATTTGAATTGTTACAAAATGCCAAGTATGTGAGATAACAGGAAAAGTGGAATAAACATAGGATATAGTAGGAAAAGGCTAAAAAGCGTGCCTGTGTAGGTCACATACAGTACATTTATGTTCTATGGTAATCTTCAGAATTCAGTTGAGACTATTTGTGAATTAAATGTTAAGATCTATTATAAATTGCTTTTTTGTGGATTTTGATGAAAACAAAATCCTGTCAAATTGAAGTACAGATAAAAGGAGGAACGGAAAAAGCTTACAGGACCCTAAAACCATGACACATCAACATGAAAAAGACAGTTATATTATATATTATATTACACTTGCCTGTCGACAGGCCAGGAAGTGAAGCTGAAACAGGGACACAAGCGGCAGGAAACTACAAAATAAAACCAGACACGAACCGCCACCGTGACACAGTTGCCTTAAACAATTTGTTGTTGAATAATGAAGCAAGGCCATTTTATTCATCAATAGGTCATACTCTGATACAAAATTACCTTGTTGTAACGTATGTAAAACTGTACTTTAAAGTAAAGTATAATTTCCCCTTCTGAGGAGCATTTAGAGTGCCAAGAAACCTCCAGACCAAGAGATCAACACCCTGCTTGTTGGAATGTGAAGCATTAAGAACACACGCGTGTTCCAACAAGACTTAAACTCAAAGTATGATTTGGCGTTCACCAAATATGGCTGTGTGAGTTAAGGCTTCTACTCTGCGTGATTCTGTCTCTTTGCTCATTCTACATTAGCAAGTGTAATATAATACAGACTATGAATAACTGTGACAGAAATCAGATCCATTGCACGTTGCCAAACAGTAGCTTGGACTGCAATAGAGAGAGAGCTACTGGGGCCCTCAGCAGCTCAGATGCTCCACACACATCAAACTATGTCAATTGAAACCAAAAGCACGCAAATAATAAAATATGTAAAAGATAAAATATTGTACATTGGTGTATTCTACAGCAGAGAATGTGAGGAGCAGGCGTGAGCCCCGGTCACCACCCTGCTGCCAGCCACAAGCAGCCCTAAGAATAAACAAATAATCAAAATAACAAATACGCTTAATAGAAAGTAATCTTGTGGGGGTAAATGGCAGTTTAGCTAAAAGACAGGAAACTAACACCAACAAAAGATAATTTACACAATACTACCAAAATAAAGAGAAATAGCAAAACAAAACAGGAGAAGCTTCCAATCCCAGCAGGAATGTTTTGCGTCCTCCACTTTTGCAGGCTCGCACCTAGTTTGGGCCTTTCCTGAGGAGCTGGTGCACAAACCAGAACAATCACCAATGGCCACATAATTTACTTAAGAACTGAGATTAAAAACTCACTGGATTCTTAAACCACCATAAGACAACAAAAAAGGGGACAAGCATAATGACAGCAGCTTTTATACCCTGCCGAGGCCTGACTGAACCGATAGCAGCTCAGGAGGAAGAAATTCGGATTCTGAATGATTCTGCGCTCTTGCTAATTACGATATTGGTGAAGCTTTTCAGCTCTGCCTTTGACGAACCACAGCCTTCATGACAACTGCACCACAGCAAAAGACTAGAGTGATATAAAGAAATGTTTCCAGTTAGGCTGAGCCATGTGGGGTTAGTAAGCTAACTAGCGGGCCGCTGGCTAACCACTGGTAATAGAAAATAATCCAATTCTGGTCCAGTTGGTTGACGTTAATTCTCTGAACTAAGGCTCGTGGAGTGAGTTACTGTACATATGGTGAACCACTGTAATTACCATTCTTCCATTCAAAAAGAAAAATACATCGTCGTTTTGACCAAAAGTAGAAGGGTTGATAGCAGCAGTCGGCCACACATAATTGAACACTAACTGACTCCTTGTGTGTGTGTGTGTGTGTGTGTGTGTGTGTGTGTGTGTGTGTGTGTGTGTGTGTGTGTGTGTGTGTGTGTGTGTGTGTGTGTGCATTAAGAGTAGTTTCAGTCAAAGTCACCCCTGAGCAAGTGAACCGCACCTATAAGTTGAATTGTTATTCCACGCTATTCATTTCACAACACAAAGACTGCAGAATCGGCCCTAGAATACAAATTGAGGGAGAGAAGTGATTTGTTTGCTGGTTTGGGAAAGCCTCGCTTCAAGGCTCTTTGTGAAGGATTAATTAACATAGATTGTAGGCTGGCCATTGAGACTCCCAGAGACAAAATACACAGTCCATTCAGGCTGTCTGGTGCTTTTTTCTTGCAACTTCCTTTGCCTTGTTCTCCATTGCAACCCTTTACACCACCATTGCTACAGTTTGTGCAAGCTGCTCTCTGGTAACCGTGACAATGATGAGGTTGATGATGCTTTTTCACAAGGGAATTATTTCCGAAAGACAATAACTGGAAAATAACTTATTTTATTGGAAGCAATCAACTCACCAACAACGTTACACCCTATTGCCTGAATCATGGATCTCCTAGCCTTATTGTGTTACCAGAAAATAATTATCTGTCTCTCCTTTGCCTTTTCTCTCTTTATTTTCGGTACTCCCTGTTTCTGAGGCACCAGCTCCAGGAAGGAGACTAGTGATCAGGGCCGTGCCCTAAATATTACAGTCGCCCCTCTGGAGACAAACTTCCAGGAGATCTGTAAGTCTCTCAAAATGCTGAAAGGTTCTCGAGGCGCTTTGACCTAGTTGTTCCTCTTGCAAGGCAACTGTGAAAACGTATTGAAACAGAAATATAGTTCACAACTACAGAGAATCCCGTCATCAGCGCCAGGGAAAAACTGAGTTCACTAAAATGAAGGCAACACTCTACGTATTAGTAAGCTTCCCTTTCTGCACCTTTCATTTTTGAGTGAAATGAAATAAATATGTTAATTTAGATTTAAAATCTCACCTAAATAATTAGACTTGTAAATTCTGATCAGATGGCTTTGTTTAGCCTATTCCACAATTTCTGACATTTGGAGAAATCTACACTCATTACATTGCGTGAAATACTTGGTGGATCAAAAATCAATGAGGGGCTTATTGATGTTGGAGCCGGGATAGGATGCATTCAAGCCACTCTGCTATGTAGCCCCTGCTCCTTAACAAGGAAAAACACAGTAATGACTGCAGTTTTTCATTCATTTTTTTCTCAACAAAGCTTGCAACACTTGTAAGAAAATAAACAAAATGCCTTGTAATATTCAGCCTAAATTGCTGCTGAGACACCAAAATGTAAGAGTCAATTTTCAAGCTTGGAAAGGCTGCAGTGCTGCACCCCCAGGACTCATTGTGATGAAGCCAAAGGGATGATGCTCCTTGTTACTGACTCCAGAAACATGAAAGCACATTTATTTACATAAAAACCCTGCCTGTTTATGAAGTAAAATTATATGAGTGTCTTTAGATATTGATTTTTCCAGTGCATTAGAATAATTATGGAATTAACGCAATTTCCTGCAGTACCAATACAGAATGTTACAAAGTAGAACAATCCGTAGGGCTCCTAAAGCTTAAATGCAGTCCCTTTGAGAGGACATGCTGGGATTAAAAGCTCTAGCTATATATATATCTAACTAAATGAACATGAACTTGAATTAGCTGCAACTGAAATGCCTCAATGGTATTGACTTATTATCACCTCTCTGCCGTGCTGTTGTTGTCAATGTTGTGAGCAACTTTTCCAATCAGACTTTCACCATCTGAAGGGCGCTGCATGTGCATTTAGGAATGAGCTGCGATTGGCCAAAGTCTCCCGTTACTGTCTGTTAATTCTAAAGCAGGAAGACAGAGCGAAGAGGTGCAGAAGTTATCTTGGAGAATGGGAAAAATAATATATTGAAAGGTTATTATGAAAAGGTTCCTGCGTGGTACTAAACAAACAACGGCCCACAGCAGCTTTGAAGGGAAGATTTCGGGCTTCCAGCCAGATGGTATCTTAGCTCTGCCAGTGTGGGACAGATTTCAGAAATATCAGAGGGTGTTATTTCACTATCACTCTCTTGGCTAAGGTGCACAAACCTATTTTCTCTGCCACTGATCAGTGCATTAAAGAGTCTAATGTAAAACCTAAAGGATTGTTTTTTGTTTGTGTTTTTAATTACAGAGATGTCAGACGATGCATAGCCACAAACCACTACTCAGTAAAGGTTAGGCTCACGTTTGGTGGATTACCCCGCAGTACCTTAACATTTCTTCCAAATGTCACACCTTTCAAAAAGAAGAAAAGTGGCACTTAATGACTCCTAACACACACACACACACACACACACACACACACACACACACACACACACACACACACACACACACACACACACACCTGATTAAATGAGGCGCGGTTCTCCTCTTTGGTACGTGGCATAACAGCTCCTTGTTTTAGAAAGGGGGGAGGAGGGTATGGATGAGGGAGGGAGGTATGGATGGGGGGGGGAGGGTATGGGTGAGGGGGGTATGGGCCTCAATGACACGTTTAGTACAGAACATGTGACACCTGCACGAGCCAGACAATTACTAGTTTTAGTACCAACGGCGAAACATAAATAGAGGATATTCTTTAAAGGTAAAGTAGAATGAAGGCGGGGAGGAGCGACGAGGAGGAGGGCGGATCACATTGGGGAGATGGGGGAGTGCGGGGGAGGAGAGGGCAGATGGACCGCCCCCTCTCCTCCCGTCACCTCTCTCCGTGCAGCGCGAGGGCAGAACACGTCCGACGCGCGCACCTGGCGCCCGAGCTCATTCAGTCACGTGCAGCCGCTTCCAGCGCGCGCGGGCGGCAGCGAGGAAGAGGAGACGTTTTCCCGGCCGCAAGGCGCGTGTTTTCCCGTCCGTCCCGATGGAAGCCCGTGAGGTCGGGGTAAGAGGAGGAGGAGCAGGAGGAGGAGACGGCGGCATGCGGAGAAGTGGATGCTCGGTCTACCGTTAAGGTACCGGGGGGGGGGGGTCATCTGTAGATACCGGCGGGGGCTTTTCTCCCGCTTAGTGGAGTGTCTGTTGGGCGAGGACATGTCCTCGTCCTGTCCCCAACGCGAGCTGGTCAAATATAGAATGGGACAGGAGAAGTTTACTGTAACTTCACTTATGTTTTGTAGAGCCAACTTTAGTTTGCTGCTCGGTGATATTAAGGTACATTTGGGGACTTTGATGATCTTCAAGTCGTCCCTTTGGCACATTGCTGCCAAACTATCTTTATTACAGTGCACAAACAATCCTGCGTCAGCCACACCGATGTGCAAAATCTGAGACAACTTATGGAAATCCCCCAGAAAAAGGGCATTCTAGTGAGGTCAGCACTAACTGTAAATCAGTGTTATTGATTAACAATCACAAATGAGTAGGAAAATAAATTGCCGACGGGGATATTACTGACATTGCAGCTTTACGTAACGTGCCCAGAGAGACCTACTTGGCAGTGTTGTGCGCTGACTTTTGCATCCTTCATTCAGACAGTGACAGCAGCTGTTTTACAGTAGCGGTCCCTTTGCTTTGAAAGGGTAATTGCAGTGTGAAGCCCAGTAGGTCCTAATGATCACAGACGGTCTTTACTTCTCTTTAAACAGCGCTTGATCACCTTCTGAATCAAGTTCTGAACATGCAAAAGGCCAGAGTGACTTAAAATATACCTTATTCTAAAATGTTTTGGTTGCAAGTGTTCTTCTAACTACAGGCACTTGGGAAACAAACAAACTCACAGTAGCATCTATTCCTCAGTGTAAAACATGACACTGTGCTGCATGCAGCTACGACTGCACAGGGCTGTGCACCGTTGTTATAATATCTTGTTTGTTATATAAAGTAGACGCACTTAACTTTCAGATTTGCTCTCCACTTACTGGTCTGCTCATTAACAAATTGCCAACAAATGGTGCTTGTTGAAATGGTTTGATCTGGAATTAGTTAAGAGTTGCCTCTTGGATATTCATCAGAGGGAATTTTTAGCATTTGAAATCCTTCCCAACTATTTTGACTCTGGAATCACTTCCCGTGTAATCTCAATCGAATGTGCCTCAACATAATTAAAAGTGCCTCTGAAGGCTCTTCAAGAGAACATCATTACGCTTTGAGCACCGCAAGCTTGCTGGTTTCTTCTTCCTCATCTACATCCTCCGTGCTCTTGATGTGCATGAAAAACAGAGAAAGCGCCTTTGAGTTTGATTGTTTGAGGTTGTTTTTGCCCACTAGAAAGCTGGTTCAGATCAGAGGCAAATTCTGGCTTCAAGCGGAGGGAAATGCTGCATGAGCAGATCAATAGTCAGAGCGGCTCCTGGCAAAAACCAGCACCATCATCCTACGGAGCAGGATGCTGACTCCTCAGAAGTTCCCACAGTAGTCAAGCAGGCACAGTATCATTAATGCTAGCCGTGGGAGTGTGTGAGAATTGGCGGATTGATAGATTTAATAGCTATTCCAAGAGATGGGCCATCATGTGACTGTAGAGGCCCCCGTAACAAGGTGTTTTCTCTTTTTACCATTACCAGAAGTCAGGCAGATTCGTACCAAAGGAAGCAGGCGTCAGTCGCAGTGATCAAATCATATGACGACTGCTATTCCTATTTACTCTGAAATTATACTGGAATATGTGCTGCATGGAAACAAATGTGTCAGGAAGGACTGTGACTCCAGCCACACCAAATGCCAAGGGCAAGGCGGTGCAGCATGTTCTTGATGCTCTCGGTGAGCTAATGTGCTTCACACTTCACCCACATTGGACTGTGAATGTTCCGTCGAGGGCAAACAGCACAGGCGAAGAGTTTTGTTTTCAACACACGTCGAGGAACAAGCTTGCAAACTGTACGTGGAGACCAAACCCTCGTCTTCAGACGGAGACCATGAAAGCAGGCCGTTCGCTGACGGCAGGAAGAGTTTACTCGGCTGGGCTGTGCACTGCTACGCTGTAACGTTTGAATTATTTAAACGCTGCGTCGACCAAATGCGGTACGTGGCATCTCCACCTATCAAACACGCTATCTCTGATTCTGTCTTTTTATTCTTACATCCAGACACCTTGGGTGATGGAGGAACAAAAACCTGGTGCACATTCATGGAGAGTTATATAAAGCCCCACCAGCAGAAACATTCTCAACAACTGGTAAGTGAATATGTTCAGGAATCAGGGCAATCAGGAAACATTTACTGCCATAATATGTCAGACATACAAGGAATTTGACTTGGCGGTTGGTGCGTAACAGCAGACAGTATGACAATGGACGACAGGACAACATAGTGCACGAGTTCAAAAGTTCAAAAGTGAATGTGTTAAAGCGTATGTGTGTATATGTTTGTAATCAGGGTTGCTTGCAGTATAATATGGTTGTGCCTAATGGAGGCGGCTGGCCTGTGGATATTGTAATTGAGTCAAGGCCATGCATTCATTCACATGATTACTGATTGTGAATGCTGGTATTATTCTCAGTGTATTTTTACACGTGGGAGTGTGCAATACTTTCACTTAGTAAATTGGGGTTGAATGCAGATTTATTGAAATTGAACGCAGAGATTATAGGCCGACTCAGTGGCCGGGGAAAAGCCCTGTAAACCCGAAGGATACGTCACCCTCCTTTAATCCTTACAGAAACGCGCAGTGCCACGTGGTTCTCATTGTGAATCTTTTCGCTAGATTTAAGGCGACAAAACGACTTTTTTAATGAATGATGTAACGCATTAAATGCAACGTAACGCGCCTAGCGTAACAAACGTCAAATTACAACCTGAAATAGACAAACGTAACCACCACAACGTAACAAATGAGCAACGTAACAGTCACGTAACCTCAGCAGCAGCCATATCAACAATAAACACCATGAGGAGACTTCTATGCTCCCATGTACTGTCACGTAGCAATCGTGAACCGTTACATTCAGTTTTGGTTCCACACAGAACAGGAACAGCAAGCCAGTAGATAAAGTCCTCTGCTCACATGTGCGTACAGCGCATACGTTTCCCCTGTTGTTTCACTTTAAGGTCTGCATCCACATCTGAGCTTTATGTTGTTCACACTAGTGTTTTCTGTAGTTCTGTTGATGCAAAGACACTTAAGGTAATTACACACAAACCTATGTGAATATGACCACATTTACTTTAAATGCAGAGAGGAAAACATTCGGATGTCTCTTCAAGGCAAAAGGAGAGGTTGCTCCATTAACTGGGACAACTTGGACAGGATTGTCATTTCTCGCTTTGATTATGAGAAGAATTGGATTAAGCTAATTGCCTGCAGAATTATACACTTGTGCTCAGTAGCCGGGTATACAATGTGTTTTTTGATGGAACTGATTTTCCGTTGCCTGTAGCTGCTGATTTGAGTTACATTGTGAGAATCAAGCGATTCCGACATGGTCATATAGGTATTTTAGCATAATGATTAGTTTGATTATGTTAATATTTAGTCAATTGATATGGTGATAAGGCTTGTATTTTCACGAATGCCTCTGGGAAAACAAGCACATCATTATTTATCCCAGCACCGAATGCAGTATGCAAAATAGCATACAAACAAGTCTATTTACATGGGTAACTGCTTGATAAAATGATTTTCAAAGTACATGCACTAATTACATTATTGTGTGTTGTATAATATAATATGACGAAAATGATACCGGGTGCTTATGAACAGAAAGTTAGAAATAGGTGATATACAATCTGTTTGACACTTAAACACACTTAAATGAAATGATTCTCTGGTGCAGCAGCATTTAAGAGGATGTTACAATATGATTCTCACTGGAGAACACAACATCAGAAGTTGCAAAACAACCGAAAGAAGTAATATAACTCATATATATAATATATATATATAAATATAACTAAAGGAGATTTTATATTTGTAAAATGGAGCTCCTCATTCATAAAGAGATTCGAGCCAGGTAATGAGCAACACTGTTTTTACTCCTCATCTACTCATTATAAATGTCAAGGAGCTGAATTTGATTTGGTCACGTGATTTTGCTGGCCGGCAAAACAGTCTTCTTAAAAGCGGCGTAAAGGTGTTGCACTGTCGCGTTCTTACCAACATCTTGCCATGATATCTGTGTCCTGGTCCAGGGTGTAATAGGCAAAACTGCCCCTTTTGTAGGGTCTTTCCTTTATTGATTAACATGCTTGCGAAGAAACAGACATTATTCCTCTTTTTTTAATATTCATTGCGCTTTTTGAAATCTTTTATGTTCTTTTTACTTAACTCATTTGTGTTGAATAGCAGACGGCGTATCTTTAAAATAACACTGGCCAAATAGTTCAAACACCAGTGATTAGGCCAGATTTCCATAGATGTCATCATTAGATTAGATATCATATCATTAGATGTCAGTCGTACCAAACCAAGCAAGGCGGTTGCAGCAGAACCCTCGAATTGATTGATTCTAGCAGTGGTGTGTTATTGCCCATGAAGGCGCATAACAGCAGCATTTTGATTGCCTCTCGACATGTCAATGCCAGAGTTAGGGCTCACAGCAGCGGTGTTAAAAGCAGCCACCCGTTTACAGTACAAACTACGTCAAAGGTGCCGACAGGCCTCAAAGGTTTTTTTCCGTGGCGTACGCTCCTGTCAGGACGCCATTATCAGCTGTAACCACCCTGTGAGAGCGCCGAGAGGCTCCGTGAGCTAACCACTCGGGCACGCTCACCCGCACGAACATGCACTGAAAGCATAATACAAGCAAATTAATTCCGAACACACAGACACGGTGAGTGACTTCAGGCAAACATTACTCCATATGTCTTTACATAAACACATTTTTATTGCTGCTGCATTGATGCTCTTCCGTTTTTTTATTGCAACAAGCTATGATCAGTTTTTTCACAACACGGTTCTTCTTTTTAAGAGTCGGCTAATACACTAAACAATTTACCCCCCTCAAGAAAATCTGAATTTGTTTTTTCCCCCCAAAAATATATATACACACACTACCGTTCAAACGTTTGGGTCACATAGAAATGTCCTTATTTTTCAAAGGAAGGACTATTTTTCATGATTAAATTAATCACAAATACACTATACATTGTTAATGTGGTAAATGACGATTCTAAGTGGAAACATCTGGTTTTTAATGAAATATCTACAGGTGTATAGAGGCCCATTTCCAGCTACTATCACTCCAGTGTTCTGATGGTACATTGTGTTCGCTAATTGCCTTAGAAGACTAATGGATGATTAGAGAACCCTTGAAAACCCTTGTGCAATTATGTTAGCACAGCTAAAAACAGCTAGTTGAGTATCTGGAGCATCACATTTGTGGGTTCGATTATACTCTCAAAATGGCCAGAAAAAGAGAAATGAAACTTTCATGTGAAACTTGCCAGTCTGTTCTTGTTCTTAGAAATGAAGGCTATTCCAAGCGAGAAATTGCGAGAAAAACTGTGTACCACTCCGTTCAGAGAACAGGACAAACGGGCTCTAACCATAGTAGAAGGAGAAGTGGGAGCCCCGGTGCACAACTCAGCAAGAAGACAAGTAGTTATATTAGAGTTATAGACGCCTCACAGGTCCTCAACTGGCAGATTCTATAAATGGTGAGATGCAGAAGTGGTGAAGAGATGCTGGAAGAGTGCATGACGCCATCTGCCAAGCATGGTGGAGGTAATGTGATGGTGTGGGGCCTCTTTGGTGCTGGTAAAGTGGGAGATTTGTACAAGGTAAAAGGGATTTTAAGTAAGGAAGGCTATCACTCCATTTTGCAACGCCATGCCGTGCCCTGTGGACAGCGCTTGAGCTGGAGTTAATTTCCTCTTACAATAGGACAATGACCCAAATCACACCTCCAAATTATGCAAGAACAATTTAGGGTGAGAAGCAGACAGTTTGAAGAACAAAATTAATATTTAAAAAAATCATTATTTCTAAACCTGTCAATGTTTTCTATTCATTTTGCAACTCATTTGATAAATAAAAGTGTCAGTTTTCATGGAAAACACAAAATTGTCTGAGTGACCCCAAATTTTTTAACGGTAGTGTATATGTATATTTATTTTTATTTTTTTTATTCTACAATATGGCAGTTCCAACACGTGTGCGCGCGCACGGACAGAGAGCGTGCGTCCGCCTGCAACGACTACTAGCTGGATAATTGGAGATGTGAAAAACAATTCCAGACTTTCTTGGGGGGGGGCGGGCGGCACTTGGGGATTTGGGGCGCTCCCTTTGTTCAACGCTAGGGGAATCAATGAAGCCAACAAATATACAAAATGTTTCTAATAGCAAACTGTGCTGTGAGTGGGAAGATTTCCCATGTCTGGCCTGTCAAATGCATCGCTGGCCAAGTGCTATGCGGCACTCATTCGCAGTTGAAAGCTGTAATTTCTTGTGTATTGGGTGTGCTTAGTTGGACATTGGGGCAGTTATTGGGGTGTGGTTGCAAATTATGATTTTTTTTAGAAATGCAACAATCTAAGCTATTCAATGCACATCTGAGTTGCCTCCTTAATACCAGTCCAACCTCTAGAATAATTTTGAAGACAGGTTTCCAAAAAGCGTTGTAATCTGCAGGATGTGAGAAATGACACCAGCGCAGCTGTCGCAATGAAAGCCAATAATTATCACTTAGATTTTTCAAAGGACCCACCATACTGGAAATTACAGGCGGTATGTTTCAAGGTGTTTGCATCAGATACAGATCGACATTGACAGCTAAGCAGTTATTAAATGAGTTTGGATTTTAACGATTTGCATTTTAATAGCACACTGACACCTTTTTCCGTGTCATGTGACACCGTTGGAAGTGCACCAACATCTTAATAATTGCCCATCCGTCAAAAATACTGCATGTCATTCCTCTAAGCCTCAGCACATAAACACACTCAGACGGAATATTGATTTATAAAAGTACTTGAATAAGACAAGAGTGCAAGGATTACCATCCGTGGATCATTTTGAGTTGAAACTTCTGGTTTATCTCACTCAAAATGTCCTCTAATCAAGCACACCCTTTTCTGTATTCTGTGGTATCAGTTCTATAGCAATGTGACAAAAGGTGTTGGGTTGCTGCTGGAAACAAAGACACCACTCAGGAAAGAAGGTTTAAGCTGAAAGTAGTTATTCTATTACAGTGAATCTCGTGGAAGTATTACTCTAATAATAGCGCCGCTGATCACAATGCAGCTCATGCTCTTGGTCATGAAAGACCGCTTTTGAGCTTGCCGTCTTATTTGTCTCCCTGCTAACATATGCATTGATTAAACAGCATATTCCCAGAGGAAGACTGGGGCAATGAAATCACCCACAGAGGTGATCAGATGCATGCATATTCAAATGGCCAATTTTGTATGTAGAAAATATTGATGATGATTGATTCGAAAGGCATAATGATAACACAGCATAGTGCTTGTGCCCAACAGAACGGAATGGGGAAATTAAGGGTCACAATGGGACGGGGACGGATAACTAAACAGATGAGGCAGAAATTGAAGACTGAGGAGAGAATCCCGTCACGATCAAGCTTTCTCTGCTTTGTTTCCATAGCGGGCCGGCCGGGCTTGTGCGTTTGGGAAAGGCCTACTGGCTTGCTAACACCGCCGCTGCGCTCATATAGCGGTTACAGCTGGTATGCCATCCTGATCGGCCGGGTTGTGGAAGCGTATATTCCCTCACACCCCCTCAGCCCAGGGCTGTTCGGCAGACGGTCTTCCAGCAGAGATCCGTGCGGACCTGCCTGCTCCGTTTTCTGGCGACGGTAGGCAGCGTTTCCTCTGCTGGATGGGACAATCCGTTACAGTAGTGTCCTCAAAGCGCAACTAAAATAATAAAGTCATTGCAGACTTCTAAAGCCTCACGCATTGACCGTGTAACACACGCATTTCTACCAGCTCACACGCCACATGTCTGCTCTCATGTCTATTCAGTAAATCTTGAGCTATAATTACTGACATCCACTATTTCTGATTTGGAAATACTAGGCCGCTTTTATTTAAATAACAGTGTTGCCCCTCCCATTAAATTAGGGGGGCAGCCAACCTTACCCCACCCATTTCTCTGACTTGGTGATTTCAACCCAAGCTTAAAAGGTCATAGTCATCTAAACCACGGACTATGAGAAGCATTATTTACATATGTCAACGTATAACCATCCTCGTTAATTAGTCATATGAGCTGTTTTTACAAAGCTGCCTGGTCTCCATCAGTTATTTAGATTGGATCCTATTTTTCTTACCTTTTTCTCACCTTCTACTCCAAATTGAAAAATGTCAAGTCAATTCAGAATGCATTCTTTCGTATGCCCGTCAGGAAATGAAAACAAAATAAATAAAAAATACCTGTCTGTCTAGAGGACCATGTGACCAGCTGTTTTATGCCTCAATTTCTCCGATCCTGCTTCATCCCCAAGTAAGAATTTCATTTGTGCGGCTGTGACATTTTTCATGTGATTTATTCTATTGTCCCGAGTCCAGCGGCCATAGCGGCCCCTCCGCCCGGTCCCCTCGCCATCAGCACTGACAATCCCGGCCTTTGTTTTAGCAACGAGAAGCAGCATTCTTCCAGAGGGATGACCTCCTTTGTCTCTACAGGGGCTGGCACTAAGGACGCGACCCTACCAGCCGATTGGATAGCACCCCAACGGATGCTGCCAACCAAAGCCGAGAGGTGTCACGCACTCTGGTGCTCATATGTGCACCAAACACGCTCTCCGTCCCCTTCAAGACAACTTGATGGATCCCTCCTCTCACTACAGCTGACACATCATGGCCAGGCCCAATTATCATCAGCGTAAAGCATTAGCACAGAACAACAGGATTAGACTCTGTGACTGAAAGTGGATCATCAGCCATTTCTGTGAGTAAACATCTCTTGCACTTTTTTAAGGATTGATTTTATTTTATTATTTATTTATTTAACCAGTCATCAGTTATATTGTTACTGTTAAACAGCGGTGAAATTAAACATTTTTTTCATTTGGCCACAAAATCAAAATACGTTAAGCAGCACCATGAGGAGAGAAGCTGAGATGAAAGATACCGAAGTGAAAAACTATTTCAGAGAGACACATCACTAAAATCCCACAGCACCTGAACATTAGAATTCCAAACCAGCCGCACAGTGAGACACCAGGCTTAACATTACACATTTCCAACAGTTGAAAGGGATAGCGCAAGTATCAGGACATCAAACACCAGGTCCAGGATTACATCAGATTACCTGCAGCTGTCTATGCAGACTCATGCATCTGCCACTATTAGGATTTAAGCGAATAATAACAGTTGGCTGCATTCAGAAGACAGCAATTAGGACAACATTAAATAAAATTCCATTTCCATTAAAATAGGAATTCATTTTTTTTAATTGTTTATGACTGTTTCTTTATACTGTGTTGAGTAAATCTGGTACCTGTTGTCCAGATACTTGTTAATGAATTACGGTTGTGTGGATAGAAACCCTCAAAAGTTTGTATGTTGTGTGGCGATTGCGACTTTACGTAAAGACGAAGGTGAATTGAACGTTTGACAAAGGAAAGAATTGTCCTCATACTGGTATCTACAACTCTTATACAGATCAAGTGATAACTTTTTCTCACTCAAGCTGAATGAAGTTTTGTCATTGTGACAGCGAGGATGGAGACGACTGCTGCTGGCTCTTGTTTCTAATTGTTCAGTTGTATAATCATGTATTAACTTAGTGGAGGAGGCAACACGTACAAAAGTACATTGTGCTCATTATTGAACAAAATACTCATTGGGATGGTGAACAATGAAGGATATTGCTAATTTGAACATATTGTTCTTAAAGTAACGTGCTTTGGAGTTCATGGATCTGGTAGGATTTAAGACTTATCTACAAAGATACAATTCATTTACTCCCTGACAACAACAACAACAAAAAGTAACTTGTACTTGTAGATTGTGTGTATTTTGCTGAAATTCCGGAATGGCTCAGATGAAGAAAAATTTAAAAAGTACAAATTTGTGTTAAAAAAAAAAAGGTATGAAGAAGAGGCCTCGTCCCTCCCAGGACGGCAACACTCCTGGTTGTTGTTTGCCTGGTTGTTTTCATATTAAAAGGAATGTATTGGATAAACAGTACATTATTTAGGGGGCAGGACTTTATAGGTGTTTACTTCATTTTACTCATTTTCTAAGCTTCATGCTTTCTATGTTTCAATCAGGACAGACTCAGACCGAATTGACAAACATTACACATGTATAATATTGAAATAGTGCAGAATCTTTGGCGATTGGACTCCATCCTAAACCGGGATAATCAAGGGGCCGTGATGTTCTGCTTGGCAGAATCCTCCCAAAAGATGAATTTTATATGAATAAAATGAACAGTGTCTTACCTACCGCAGCGTCCGAAGCAAAAGAGAACATTAGTCACGCGAGAAATGGTTTACGTCATCATTTTAGGTGAGCTAGCCGGAGTAGACCCAGCGACTAGTACAGCGAAAGACTCTTTTAGCACTAATGTGCTAAGATTCGACTGGTCACGTTAGACCCGGAGGCTGCAGCCGTCACGGTCGAGGGCACCACCACCAGTGATACGCATGACTTATCGGGTAGTTGGTTTCCATGGTCTTCTGGCCTCACATAAGCCCCCCAAAAACTCGCAGATGCCTTGCATCGGTCTCCACGTCCTGACTTATACCGCCCTGCTGTTGTAGAGGGGTTACACGACCCCACAGAATATCCAGACCTGATGCTCGGTCCGTACGGCACCTTTTTGTCCGGGTAAGCAGTGCCTACTTTACCTCCCCCGACTGCGCGTCACTGCCTGCTACTATAAACACAGCGGAGCGTTACGTCCCGACGCGAACTAGCAACACACCCCCTCAAACACAATACCCCACTAAAGCAGCACCATTGCGCTGCATCTCAGACAAAATTAAATCTGCACAACGCGCAGCCCTCCTCAGTTGCTTAACACGTGGAATACGTTGCACATTTGCTCACTTGCACAGTTGCGCATGGACGCGCAGCTGAGGGCGAATTGTTTCTCCCACCAGAAACATCCGATGTCTGGATCGGCCCTCGTCTCGGTTACCGCGAATGCCCTGCCGTCAGCGCCAACGTATCGCATCCGGTTTCGCACTGAAATGACACCTGACAGCAACACAGAGAGAAGCCCTTAAAAATGTTTGACAGCAACTATAGGATTGGTTCAGCCACAGCACAAGTTTTGAAAGTCTGAACATGAACATAAATTGATAGAATAACTGTAAAGAAAAAGCCTCTAAAGCGAGAGTTCTTTGGTCTCTGTTGGTCGTATACACCTGGGCGCAGCCAATCTCCGCTGATTGGATAATTCTGGGATAAGTTACTTGTGGCATAAAGGGAGTCTTCCTTCTTGAACTACCGCTTAAGCTCCATTTTCATGCGTATAGCATTTCAACATTCAAACATTTTTTGACACATTTTTAGGTTGTTGTTTTACCAGAATCTGCGTATCGTGTAGATGAGAGCACATCATTCCAAACTGTTGTTTCTCTCAGCCGTGACAAAATGAACCTTAAAATGGCAGCGCAAAGTGATGAGGAGGTGGAGAGCTTGTAGATAATTAGCTTGTCTAAAGCAATGACACGCTATTCATGCATGGCCCTATGAAACCTATCCCAATGTGTTAATTAGCTAGCACGACCTTTGATCTCAGACCAGGGTTGATTTTGATCAAGGATTAGTAACATCTAAAGTGTCATGAACCGCGGAGGATCAGTCCCATGAAGAGAAGGGAAAGAAAAGCCCACAGAGTGACTGGAGGGGGGATGCCTTATTGCGTTGCTTTTCTCAATGTAAATGGCCAATGAGATTCTAATTCTTTGTGTGTTGATTCGTCAGCTGAGTTGGACCAGCGGGACACACGCCAACCACATCTCCAGCCCTCTTCATACAGACCTTCCAACTGACCATGTGAGTTGGCTATAAGCAAAGGTATGGTAACACGGATTGCATTTACGTTACGCTTTTATATCCATAGTGAGCTCCCGTAGCAACATGGAGAACGGGAAATTTAAAATAAAGGTATGACTATAATATAAGCTCAGATAAAAGGCGTTGCTATCTATTTATATTTGTATTATGTTGTATTACATTACATTACTATAAATAACATATTGACCTTAATTAGTTAATTCACGCTACAACACGCACCGAAGCCATCTTCAAATCACAACCTCAAACACTCGCTAGTATGCTTCTATGACAAAAGAAAAAGAAAACTTGAGCGTTTTCTGACCTATTTTCTGCCATGTGGCAGCTCCAGCAGGCTGAGACTGCTTTCCAACACCATGCCTCCTTCCTTGTAGTTTGTGCCCTGCAGCCGCAGTGTGTTGACGCTCAATACACGACCACCATATATGGACAAAATGCAATCCAGATATAGCGATGAGCCATTAGATTTGGAAAGTCAGTCAACCAGCTCATCCCTCATTCAAAAAGCTAAAGACATCATGCTAAATATAACTCTAAAAGCTTTGAATGAGGCCTTAAAAAAAGGAATGACTGAATGGATTCTGGAAAAAGACTTCATATTATCTCGCCAAAAATGTACGTCTGTCAGCATGAACAAAAATGATTTAAACCATGTTATATATTAAAACTACCAGTACACAGCAAAATAAGACATTATATATGTTCCCTTATACATAGACAAAAAACACATTCAAATGTTATTAACTGAATTAAAGAAATTCCCCAAATAGAAGTAAATGAATAACATATTGAACAATAATTTGGTATGATACACGAGATTAGGCCTGCAACTAACAATTATTTCGATAGTCGATCAATTATTTCTTCGATTAATTGATGAATCAGGTAAAAAAACTTTCAATTTTGAATCCTTTTATTCTAAAACAGAACTGCAAAAAATAAAGAAAAATACAAATCAGAAAATTAAATTTTAACAGGATTTGTTTTGACGTCAGAACTTGTTCTCTATACTACACACACACAAACACTTTACATTACATTATTACCATCATTGTAGTGCAAGTTAAGTAAATGTATACAGCTAAAAAACAACCAAGTGCTATGAGATGAATTTAAAATGGCATTTGTAAATAAATGCATTAGAGGCTTAGTTAGCCGCGCTGGTTTAATGGATCACAGTGTCTCCATTTACAGGGAATAACATAACTACCGTATAACCCAGAGCATATAAGCAAGCGCACTAGACTACCGTATATGACAGCATCAAAACGTACAACACACAAATAATTTGTCAACAATAACCAATGTGGGACAAAGCACGAAATATATACAAGACAACGGATTGAAAAATGAATGGTCCACAAGAGGCGAGTAAATAAAAGCGTGTCTTAGTCTTGCTAACTGCTTTACTGTTGTTATTAGCGATCAGCTGGAGGCTCCTCACGTTCCTTACTTCAAAACGGGACACCGTGGTGCTCCCGTGCCAGGTTACGTCGACTTTTGCATATTTTGCCATTGACACACTTTCAGGACTCTCACGTGTCACGCAAGGAGCGTGACAGTCACTAATTTCGGTCTTTAATAACGCACTCCCGCCACACATCTAACTTCTCACGCTAAAAAAAATCGGACTTAGTTTCCTCTTCAACCTCCCCGTCGGCCGTAGCCTCCACATTCCCCCATTGCTCGCACACCTTGGACGACTAGTCGAACAGACGTCTCAGCCTGCGTGATGTGACTCACAGCAACTTCCGGCGCTGCTGGCTGCTCTTTCCTCTACGTCGGCTCGGCGCCTTTATTTTTATTTTTGCTCCGCGCGCATCTCCGCAACTCGCTGAGTGACGCAATAATCGCGCGACACAACGACTCGATAATGGAATTCCCCGTTACCAACGCTTTTAATAATCGAATTTTATCGATTTCATCGATTCGCTGTTGCAGACCCACAAGAGATGTAACAAGACATGTAACATTCAAAACATTTCCAAACAACACTTTTTGTCGTCTTGTAAGTGTGTTGGTCACTTTGTGGCTCTCTGGTTCGTATCATTGTTCATCACAGCATGTGTCGTGTGCTCTGCAGGTAGAGGCATGAGTCAAGTCTGACACTGGAGATGCCGAAGAGACGAGACATCGTCGCCATTATTTTGATTGTGTTGCCTTGGACACTGCTCATTACTGTTTGGCACCAGAGTGCCATCACTCCTCTACTCTCCACAAGAAAGGGTAAGAGTAAAAACATCCATTAGTTGTATTAGGACGAAACAAACAATTATCAAGTGCTACATTTTCATTAGTTGCAACGGTGTGTGTTTTACTCCCCAACTGGGGACCCCCCCCCCCCACACACACACACACACTTGTTGTAAATCGGATTAGCGCTGACCCTGAAAAACATTAAAGCATATCTATGCAAGCTGTGGTGCAGGTGGGCTCAGAGGGTCCACTGGCAACCTGATATAATCAGCGCTCGATGAAATGTTGGGATGTGTAATACACAGAGGATTACCTTTAGAACACTGTTTTGTGCAGTACATACATCTTAATGTACGATGGCTTCGTGCCTCCTCCTGGCTAGATGACAGACGGGATGGTCGCTCCAACTCCCAGAATGCTTTCGCCCTCAAGGACTCCTGCTCCCTTCAGAACAGGGACATCGTGGAGGTCGTGCGCACCGAGTATGTCTACAGCCGGCCCCCGCCGTGGTCCGACGTCCTGCCCAGCATCCACGTCATCACTCCCACTTACAGCCGGCCGGTGCAGAAAGCAGAGCTCACGCGTTTGGCCAACACCTTGCTGCACGTGCCCAACCTGCACTGGATCCTAGTGGAGGACTCCCAGAGGACGACCACTTCGGTCGTTCGTCTCCTCCAGGAGACGGGACTCAACTACACCCACCTGAACGTGGAGACGCCCAGGAACTATAAGGTACGAGGGGACACTCGGGACCCCCGAATACCTCGGGGTACCATACAGAGGAACCTGGCCCTGCGGTGGCTCAGAGAAACCTTCAGCATAAACAGCAGCCAGTCTGGGATTGTCTACTTTGCAGATGATGACAACACGTACAGTCTGGAGCTGTTTGACGAGGTAAGGATTTGTCTTACAAAGCAAACCATGATGCAGAGCGTCATTTCTCTCTTAAAATGCAATGTCTCGTGATGCATGGTATTCAAAACCACCTAAAATGAGGGAACCCTGTCTCTTTTTTCAACTACCAGATGCGTTCCACCAAAAAGGTGTCTGTGTGGCCCGTGGCCTTTGTGGGTGGGCTACGGTACGAGTCACCAAAAGTAAACAAACTGGGCAAGGTTTATGGCTGGAAGACTGTGTTTGACCCACGCCGGCCCTTCGCCATCGACATGGCTGGGTTTGCTGTGAACCTGCGTCTCATTCTGTCCAAACCTCAGGCTTATTTCAAGCTGCGGGGAGTGAAAGGGGGTTATCAGGAGAGCAGTTTGTTGAAGGAGCTGGTCACTCTCAGCGATTTGGAGCCTAAAGCTGCTAACTGTACTAAGGTAGGAAAACAAGGCACTCTGCATGTTTTGCGACCCCCTGAGAGTCTCGAGATCTTCGGCTGTCATGACAACTTGTTCTTAAAGTCAATAAACTGTCGGCTTACAGCCAACTCGCTACGCTTTGAGCTCATTTAAAAGATTCTACGCTCTGCTTCTAGATATTGGGCCGCAAGTCTAATGTATTACAACTGCACAGCACTAGGAGCCATAATTTAAGTTTTAGTGTTTCATCACACTGGCTGTACTTCTGCTTGTCTCCCTCCGCTACTTCTTTACCCGCAGGTATTAGTATGGCACACGCGGACAGAGAAGCCTGTGCTCGTAAATGAGGGCAAGAAGGGATTTACAGACTCTAATGTGGAGATATGACATACTTCATCTGACACAGGTAATGGTGGAGATTTAGAAATGCAAATTGCTGCATTTCCACACTGATTAATCGGGGGGGGTGAGCCAAAGCTGAGCATCTCCACTGGTATGTGCGCTATGAGATATGGAGCTTAACTTCAAATAAATGTTTGACCTTTACTCAACATTTTTGAAAGGGTTGTCTGCTGTAAATCGAGCTATGATTGTTTATCACAAGTATTTTTAGACACACTAGCGGCGTGTTTCTAAAGGTAACAATGTTGTATCCACCTTTTCCCAAACTAATATTGGATGGATTCCTGTGAATCCTTGTACAGACGTTCACTGTCCCCAGAGGATACATTTTTAGTGACACCCCTGCCCTTCATACAGTGCTACCTTGAGGTTGTGTTTTTTTCAGCTGGACAGATTAGATTTTTTTCTATAAGCGTTCATGTCACCCAGTGAATTAATCCTAATGACTCGGGTGACTTTTCTTTAGTAACATGGTGTATGGTCAAAATTAGAATTTGTTTAATACTAATACGCAAAACTAATGGTATTTCCATCAGCCCAAGCTTTACTTAAATGGATAGGTGCAAACGATGCATGTTACCAAGCAAATTACCAAGAAGGTGAACATTATTACCGAACCAGCATGTTTGCCAAAGTGTGCAGGTTAGCGTGTTGTAGTAAGCAATAAGCTGACAGCGTGGCTATACGTGCTATCTCGTTCATAGGAAGTTCTAACGCGTGTCTCTGCTTATCCGTTCTATTAAGGGAATTTCTCCGTTGGATTCATATTGGATTCAGAACAACCTCAAAGGTCCTTCCAGTAATATCGCGGGAGCTAAAATATCATCTCAGCGCAGTAAAGCCGCACTTCCCCAATGGAGGCACACCTGTCCGCCCCAGAAGGCGGTCCACACCATGTGCTCGAACAGACCACAGAGTATCAAAGCACAGCTGCAGGAAAACGTGCTGCTCACAGCACTGAGTGATGCAAGACACCGGTAGGAGTTGTCAAAAGGAGCTTGCCCACTGAGGTCTCCTCGGAGAGCATAAACAAAGGATGTTACGTTATTTCAACTGCAGGAAGAGATGGCACGTCAAGCAATAAAGAGCCCTCTGAGCGCAGAACACACCAGCCAACCATCCAGTCAGCATGAAATAGGGCCCTTTTGTTATGAGGCGAGCTGGCCGTCGGGAAAAGGGCTGCATGGAGGAACAAAAGGGGCCCTTGTCTTAAGTCAGTCAGCACTGACTGACAGACTGACTCAGGGGATCTGACCCTTCCCCCACACACACTTCTACTGTACAACACTAAGCTATTTAGATAGCTTCCTGAACCCAGCACTAATTAGGAGTCCCTTTAGTCCACAGTCACATGCTCAGCTGTCACACTGCACAAAGGTGAGTACACAGAAACACATGCACTACACAGAGCATTGGTTTATTACAGTATAACAGCATTGTTTACACCAAGCTCCTGTTTATTTCTGACACGCTGTAACACTACTGAGGTCTTCTCATACTTAAAAAGAGGATTCAGTATCCCTAGCGTCCTGTTCACCTTCAATCTTCTGTAAACTTATTCGGATTATGATTGTTACAGATGATTTCTCAGAATTTACCTGTTAGTTGTGAGTTATGCATGTGCAAGTCAATGAGATGCAAAGTCAAAAAATAGAATGCATTCTTTCGAATAGATATGTTACACAATCTAATTATTCCCACCATTAATGGCCGGCTTGCAAGTGATACCCCATTGACTTGCAGTGACACTGCTTACAAATACTAATGTTCTCAGACTCTGGCGGTTGGTTGTAATGTCACAGGCATCAGAAACTTTCACTCAAAGGTCAGATGATGATGCAATGCTGCTTTTGTTTCATTTTAAAGTTGACAAAATCACTCATGCCTCAGATTGTTCCATAAACCTTTTTTTTGGTTTCACAGAAGTTTTCGTTGACTGCGCTCTGCAGTATAACCACGCAAGAAAAACAAATCTAACATGAATATGTGTCACCCTTTAAGTGGAAATCCCCGGGACTGAACATGCTTGGTAATTGTATAAATGTAAAGAAGGTACTGTATGTATTTAGCCATAAAGTGTTCCCATAACAACAAGCCTCTCTTTGTTTTCAAAATGTGCATGTGCCTATGTAGATGGTATGGTATAATATCAGACAAGAAGATAAATAATGATCGTCCTTTAGAGTTTGAATGTTCGACCTGAATTAACAAGCAATAACATGCACATAGAGGCCGGGATGACAGTTCATTGGATGTCTGCTGCCATGCCAAGATCAGGCGTATCCTCAAAGTGGACCTTGTAGTCACCCTCCTTCTCTTCAAACACAATGACCTAAAGAATTTCAACAGAGAACAATTGTGAGAAAAAGAGGGTCATAGCTTTGAGATGTCACCCTTGCTGCGTTTTTTACTCATTGTACGTTAGATGTCAAATTAATCCTTTAAGTCCATCACAATGCATGATGGAAGATCGATCCCACTCTTGGCTAACAATGGCGCTAAAGCCTGCAGCCAGTGAGGTTAGCTTAGCTTAGAAGAAAGACTAAGTATGGGAGGAAATAGCTAGCCAGCTTGTAACAGCATCAACACTTTGCTGTTTTCATACACTATTTCTGATGTTTAAACATCAATATTTTGGCAGATGCAGTGACTACAGATGAGATGAAAGGTCCTCATGCCTGTTTCACCTCGTTTTTATTTTTTACCATGGCAATGTGTTAGGGTTGGTCTTGAAGCCTCGACCCCCTGTTTGGGAACCACTGTGTCAATAAATGACATACAGGGGCTGTTTTATTCCTTTTACAAATGCTGGTTTGTGCAGATTTATACCTGGTTGATTCCACTGTTGAGAAAGGGACCAGGGAGGTAAAGCGCCTGCTGGGGCCCAATTGACCAGTAGCGGCCCAGATTTAGTCCATTGATGAACACAACACCTTTCTCCCAACCCTATGGACCCAAAGACAATTTCATGTTTTCACAATGTTTACATACAGTATTAGTAGTTTTCATAAAGCCCACAAAAAAAGTATACATTCACTTACGAGCAGCTTCACAAACGTGTCACTCGGATACCCGTAGGCAAACATTCTCCCCATGAAAAATCCAGGGAAGCTCGGAGTGGTAGGAAGAGATTTCCAAGGTGCCTGATAAAGACTGAAATAAGGCAGCTTCTTCAAACACACTATGGCATAATGAAAGTGATATGCAATGCCTTAGATTCAATAAAGTGTACAAACCTATCCATAAAGCTGGGTTTCATATCCAGGCTGTATATTGTAAAATCTCGCAAGGGGTCATTGTTTAATAAAATGTCTCCCACAAGGCCTGCAAGAACACAAATCAAAATTGCTAGTATGCTATCCAGTGAATGAGCGATTTAACAAGAGGCATAGCCATTAACTTCATATTCTCTGTTGATCACCTTTATGTTGTTTGTCGAGGTCCCTTCCTTGGTGAACTCGTCCACAGTTTTCCACCAATAAACTCAATGTACGTTGTCCCTGTAGGGATTGATTGCTTTTATGTCTTTTTCAAGTTTTAACAGCCAACACTTAAGCACCTGTCACGTCTGATAACTGAATGAAGTTTATTGGACAATGGTCCAACTTGATGCCATACCTTACCATCAGGAACCGCCAGCTCCAAGCTCTGGCGCTTGAAAAGGCCAATGTAGCTTCTGTCTATAAAGACCTAGGAGGACAAATGTTGCTGTCAAATAGGTAATATTATAGTACACATAGACTCTGCTTCACTTGACTGAAATATCTCAAAGGTGTTTTTAGGTTTGCCACCACAGCTGTCACCCTATCACAACATGCAGGTTTTGTATACCTTGAAATGTCTACAGTGGACCAACAACTTTCAGGCCCTCATGTTCTTACATTTGCAAACGTATTAGCGCCATGGCGAACCAGCAGAAAGCGAACACTGGTGCTTCAGTTTACGTTGTATTTACAAAACCTGCGGTGTAAAAAGGTGCGGTTATCAGCACCTTTCTCCGCTGACTATACAGCACATTGCAAGCATTTAAACGAGCAAGTGAATTCACCTCCTTCTCTCTCTCTTGTCATGGATCAGCCAGAGTCAAAGCAGTGAACAAAAACCTCTGTGACAACAAAGTTGATGTAACGTTTCAGCATTCGTGGTGGAGAAATGTGTTGACTAGTGCGCTGTGGTACGGCTGAGTGATATTCCCACTGCTTGTTTGTTTTGTTTGAAATGATCCATATGCAAATGATTGTAATGTAGCAAAGTGTTTAACAACTTCTGGAATGGAATGTGAATGCTGAGTCGTGGATTCAAAGTCATCTTTGATTTCTTCCAGTAACTGTAATACTGCATGGCCGCTTCATCTGTAACGTGTAATGATTTTGTGTTCACTTAACTGAACCACGGGTGGTTTCTGTACATACCGCGGAATACATAATAAGGCACATTTTATGCATCCCGTCATCTCTTTATGGGAATCTCCCACTTTCCCCTGGACCCTCCTGTGAATGCATATTGCAAGACACGGAAAAGCGCAATTTGCGATTTTCAGTTTACGCGACAGGCAGCTTGCGCTTTTACGCGCACGTTGCAAAACAAATAAGCTAGTACAGTGAGTGACCACTCTGAGCCCGGTCTGATATTAAAAGGATAGTGTAATATTTTCACCTATGCGCTTTGAGAATGAGAAGATTGTCCCTATTTTTATATCTATAAGAGAGGTAGCTTAGCAAAGAGTGAAACAAAGGGGAAAACATAATAATCTCCTGTAAATTTGTCACTCTTTCCCTTGGCAAGGTCCTTCCCCACTTGCAGGTTTATGCTAAGCTAACTTTTGTGTACTAACTACGTCTCGGCCCATGTATAGCAATTAATCTTCTATATTAGCAGTAAGAAAGAATATTATCCAAAATGTCCTTTATTTTCACATATCGAGGATGATAGTGTATGGCATTATTTACCAGCGTCAATCATATATTTAGTTCTTACGGTCCAGGGAAGTGGGCAGTAATACAGATGCTTTGTGACTGTGGGTGAGTGGGGAGCACGGTCGTCCTCCAATCAGAGGGTTGTCGGTTCGATCCCAGGCTCTGCTAACCCGCATGTCGATGTGTCCTTGGGCAAGACACTTAACCCAACATTGCTCCTGCAGCTGCGACTACAGTGTGTGAATGTTAGTTACTGATGGCAGGTGTCACTGTGTGTGGTTCTCCTGTCATCAGTGTGTGAATGGGTGTGAATGGGTGAATGATGTCATGTAGTGTTAAAGCGCTTTGAGTGGTCGGAAGACTAGAAAAGCACTATACAAGTACAGTCCATTTACCATTTGTCCAGTCCCTTGGCGTCTGATACAGATGCTCAAGGCAGTTAGTATTTGTATGAGATTCTACATGCTCCAGTTACTAGAATGAAAACCCATTTACGTCATTTTTAGATGCTCAGAGAAAACGCTCCAAGAGTGTGATGAAGAGTGTGTCGCTGAGGAGTTACCATTAAACATTAAACCAGGAGCCCAGTGTTTGTGTCCCGAAGATTCTTCAGTTATTTTAAAGTTACTTTAGTGATTTGGGCTTTCTGTACTTTTGTCAGCTTAGTTTAGGTACTTATATAAAGCCCAACCTTGATGTTATTCCTTAACATACATGTATTTGTTGCAGGAGCAAAGCTCTTACCGGTATGTTCTATTGACAGCCTTAACCACGTGCTCACTGCGTTGGACCACCCAGCAGGCTACAAGTGTGACGCCAAGAGGTGTGACAAAGCGGCAGTGTGTGGCGAGGTTGAGAGATTGGGCCATCGTGTACCACGAGGACTCACCAGGGCACGGTCCCGAACATTGTCCCCAGACTTCAGTAATCCTCCACTGGTGATGGTAGCCTCATACAGCGTGTATCCGTAGGACTGTCCGTTCCCGTTGTTCACTGGGAGATTCTCCATGCTTACTGGCTTAAGGGACTTAAATGGCTTTAGAAAACAAAATAAAATACATTGATAAATTGAAGAGAAAATACTATTTTTTTAGACATATGGGCAGCAGATAGTCTTACATAAAACGTACTCCCTCAGTGAAGCTCAAAGCATCCCATAATGACAGGTGCTGGTACATGATAGCAGGCTCATAAGACTCCCTGTAATGCAGGGCTGGCATGTCAGGGAATACGCCTCCCCCTGCACGGAAAGGTCAGACACAGGTGTTGAGGTCAGTCACAGCATCTAACCACATACTTCGTTCATGTTCAGAGTTACGTTAACTTACTGTTGTATCGAGAAAGTAAATCCCTCAGAAGGTGGTACTTCGGAGTGTACTCCCCTGCCTCAGACAAGGGAGCGTCATAATCTGAAAAGCATCACGGTGTGATATAGATTTACTGTCATCTGCCGCCACCTGCTGGACATTCAACTCAACACTGTTTTGTAGACAGCAAAGAGCATCCTTCGTTATCCCCAAAACAATGTCAATTTGCATCAAAGACACCGCTTGTTTTGTTTGTGACGGAACCAACCATAGCTGGGGACCAGCGCTCTGTAGGAAGGGTCGGCGCGTGCTCCGCTCATGAAGCCAAAACTGGAGCCTCCGTGGAACATGTAGAGGTTGACAGACATGCCCCTCCTCAGAATCTCTCTCACGGTGGTCACCATATCTGAGAAAAACACTTTTACACTGTTCAACAAATTCACACCATGAAAACATAATACAATCAGTTAGGGACGTCTTCATTGTCCCTGCTGAGTTCTACATCAGTGGGCTGCAATAATTCAAACGTAGGTCCTGACTGTCTGGTTTGCGTTTGCATTGTTAGCATGCAAAAGAGTAAGAAAATAAATCTAATGCAAAGTAGGGGGTGAGTATGAGGGGCCGTTTAGGACTATTGGGACACTCTCGCACTCACTACTGGGACACTCTTACGCGTACTAATGAAACACATTCACCATTGAAACGATCACAGACACACACTACTGAGACACTCACACATATTCTATAAACCTATGCACGCGCATATATAAAACATTACTTACACGTACATATGAGAAACACACCCGCATACATATATACTGCTGTGTCATATACATACACATCAAATGCTTACATGCATATAAGTGAAACATTTATATGTATCTGATACACATATGAAAAGCTTGTATGTATATTGTTGAACACTTATACATGAATCTCACATATGAGTAAAAAGATATAAAAAGTTTAGATGCAAGTGTTTCACATATATTTGTGTAAATGTTTCAAATATGTATACACTAGTTTAGGGTCACTTAGAAACATCCTTATTTTCCAAAGAAAAGCTTTTTTTTCAATGAATATAACATTAAATCAAAGCATTTGATCATAAGTGACTTGATGTTAATATTGCTGATGTGTAAAACAACAATATTTTATGAAGGGAGTACGTGGCGTGACAAAGTTCAGAGTCACTTGTCTGTGTTCATGCACGTGAGAAACCAAGTTGAGTTTAAACCTAAAACTGCCTTTCGATAAGTGGTTCTCTTTGGTTACAGAATTGGGTTTTACTCTTGTGTGTGCTTTGAGGGTGAGACCAGTTCTTTTGAAGTGAACCTGCTGATTTTTTGTGTCAGAAACTACAAACTAAGAAACTAAAAAAAACTACAAAAAGGTGTTTGTGGTCAAAAAATATAACAGCTTTTGGAACTTGTTTTTAACCTTACATAACATAACCTTAAAGAATCAATATTCACAATTGCAAGTTTTCAGGCGGTTTTAAAATAGATATTAAATGTACCCCAACATGTCTTCTTGAGTTTTTTTTTAGTTTTTTTTTACTACTGTTATATATGCGATGGTGAGGAAAAGGGAAATTAGGGTACGTCATGAAGCAAATATTTATCTTTATCTTTGGCTAAACAGAAAACACAAACACAAAAACTAAACTTCCCTCCAACCAACAACCTCAGCTGAGTACAAATAAGAGCTGAGCACAAACAAAAAGGTGGCAAGGAGAACCTTCCTTACCCTCTGGGGGGAGCACATGGTGGAGGTCGCCCCACACATCGTACCAGCCGGTCCAGTAGTCCATCACCACGGTGGGGCTGTTGGGCTGACAGAACGCAGAGAAGGACGGACCTTCAGATAACACAGCTCAGGGTTTCATTAACTGTCTACGTGACGTCTACGTGACGTCTACGTGACTCGGGGCTGTACGACGTTGTTCAGCGGCTGATGGTGTTGAGCGGTAAGATACCCACCTGGATAGCGTTCAGATCCAGGATGTCCCTCTGATTCAGCTTCTGCAGCTTCAGTGATCTGATAGCTACGAGGAGGGGGATCACAAGGTAAACTGTGTGTGTGTGTGTGTGTGTGTGTGTGTGTGCACTAATAAAAGACTGTACCTCCATCCACACCCCCAGACTTTAATGTTTTGGTGTAATCGGATGTGAGCAGGAGCTCGCTGATCCCTTTGGACTGTAAGGCCTTTTAAAATAAAAAAGAATGGGAGATACAGTATAAGGGTGATTGTGAGTAAGTGATTCATTCTATCGATGTATTTTTATTCATATGTATTCTCATTTAACTTTTAGATGGCATTTAATCAAGCAAGCCCATCACATCACCTCTTTTATGAAAATCATGTAGCTATCGTCCTTTGCAAAGGATCCGTACTCGTTTTCAACCTGCACTGCAATGATGGGGCCTCCTTTCTTGAACTAAAAAACAAACAAAAATATAATTGTGTAAGTGTAATGAAAACAACCTGGAGTTGCAACAGACCGAATTTAGGCTTCATAAACATAAAGCGACCTGAAGAGGAAGAACTTTTGGTATAAGCTTATCGAAAAAAGTATTGACGGCCTCAGTAAAGCCTGGGTGAGTCGTCCTCAGTCTCATGCTGCCGTCACGGAGGAGCCAGCTGTGATGAGACAGAAAAAACTAAATGTCACAGAGCTGCCAGCACAACAGAGGCACAACAAGTCTCAATTGTCTTTACTCCCATTGCACAAAGCAAAAAGTCCAACTTTCTGTATCCGATCAAGTTGCTTTTGTGCTGTCCTGTGAAGTCACTAACGAATTTCATTTCATTTATTGAGAGAGAAACTAGTGAGAGCAGGTTGAACAAAGCGTGCAACAGGCTTTAAATCCCACTTTCATATGAACACATAACATCTGTGTAGTTATAAGAATACTCGCACTACCTCGGCAGTCCTCCCAGGTCCACTTCGGAGGAAATGTAAGGCCCTGGACGCAAAATCACCCACAATCCCAACTCGTCGGCAAGGTTGATATAAGCTCTGAAACCCAGATAGAGGATACATTTAAAAACACAGATCTCCAAGCGAAACACCGTATCTTGTTGTTTGAGGAGTGCGAGACGTGCTGGGCAACGGCGGCAGCCGCAGCACAAGGCGTCACGCTCCCTCCTCACTTATCACTGGCTGCGTTGTTAATTGCTTGATAAGCTGCTGTTGTTGGGGATGTGCTGCCGTTGTCAGGTGGGACCTCTCTGACTCCGGCTTCTCCCCCTGAGCACCGGGGCTTAGATGATGAGAGGGAGAGGAGAGTATTCCCAACGCACCGGTGGAACAGGTATAATATTGTCAGAACAGCTATGGAGGTGATGCAAGGTGTTTTCATTCTTAGGATGGATGGAATCCTGAGTAATAGTCCTTACACTAAATCCAGCTGTGTGTGGAAGTTGAAAACGCCCCTCTCCGGCTGGTGCAGACTCCACGGCACGTACCTGCGGGGATGCAGGATGTTAGTATTCAAGCCCTAAGAAATAAAAAAACACCCGTGGTAGTTTTCCCCTACGTTGTGAGGGTGTTGATGCCACAGGCCTTCATCTTCATCAGGCGGTCCCGCCAGTAGGCCCTGGGCACACGGAAATAGTGGACGGAGCCCCCGAGGATGCGGAAGGGCTCTCCATCCAGGGTGAACTGGGACGAGTTGGCTCTCAGGCCCACCTTCCTGCTCATCCGCCGTCCACCCGACGGCGTGCTTGGAAGAGGAGTTCAATTGTGTCACACACACATAATGTAGTACAATGGCTATTGTGCCTGAACGGGCCACATGACATGCCTAATGGGAAATAACAGGCTTCTCTTCATTGGCAAACACGGCAGGAACATATTTGAGTTTAGAGGAAATAGAGCTCAATAGATTTAGTTTAGCACTCCATCTGAACCTTGGGAAATGTTACACATAGTTTTTCCCTTTTTCCCCCTATATAGCATCCTTTATTGTATAGTTAGAGGGGCTTTACGTTTGATGAGAAACACATTCTAAGAATGACAGTGATACTGCATTATGAAAACATTCCACTTCATAGTGGCTTTACCAAATACCATCACATCAATATATTATACCAAAATTATAAGATACACTATCTGTGCACAGAGGCTTGCAGCATTTCTGTCTTTATTTAGCAAACCATTCATTCACTTACAGCCATTAAGGCACTGCATTAGTTGCTGTCTCTAAGTTGCTCTATAGCTGTGCAGAAAAACAACTTTACTCACCCATAATATCGGTACACGATAAAGCCAAGAATGCACAGGCAGATAAGTGCATATTTCCTTTTGTGAGCATTTCTTATGGTCAACACAACCATCGGTGCATGAGCAGATATTCTCCTGTCACACAGGCAGCAGTGATGATAAGTGAACTGCAGACACACAGATGAACGCATGCTGCTTCAACAGCGCACCGCCTAGTGGGAGTCTCCCTTTAGCGAAGCCGTGGAAATCGAACACACCCCTTGATATACTCAGCATGTGGGTTTTCTTCAGTTCGTATAATGTAATGTAATGTTTTGGTGGGAAATTAACTTTTGTAATTTAAAAAGTTTAGATTTGGGGTTTAAAGTATAAACCTATTTGAGAACAAATGAACACACTGCAAATATTTCATAAGTTTAAAATAGCGGGTTTTAATATTAAAAACGGCAACTAGATTCAAGTTATTTTTGTTGGCATTTTCAAGATCTCTTGTTTTTATTGTTGCAATACACTACATTGTTTGTTGCGATCGCGAGTTGAATACGCTGTTCCTCGCACGTCATCCCAAGACTACATTTCCCATGTTCCTTAGAGGCCGGAGCTTGCGCAATATGTTTTGCACGGCCCTGGCTGCTGGCAGTGTCTGGTTGTTGTTGTTGTTGTTGTCACATTCATAAGGGGAGGGGGGGAAGAAAGTATTAATCAAGTTAGCATAACCCCGCGTCCTTCGCATGAGGTAAGGAAGATACCGGTCGACCCGTTTTCTGTCCGACTCGACGCGCTCGTTGACGGGAAACACCAAAGTGAGACGAGTTGCTGAGCGTGCTAGCTGTTAGCTAGCAACACAAGACCCGCGAGCACAGCACTAAACAAGCCGACCAAAGTCTCACTGTCCTGAGACACCGGACGTCATGCTAACCCGGCTAGCTTCACCACGACAGGCTGCACGCGTAACGTTACTCTGACTGTTTTTGGCGAGACAGCGCGAGCTGTCACCGTGTTTGCTATTAGCGACCCGAGCGAACGTCCATCCGCTCGCTAACGGGTTGACTTATAAACCTTATAACTTAATAGTCACGTTATTGACGAGAGACACTTGACAACAGCAAGTAGGTAAGCATTGCAGATCCTGTTCGATCCTGTTATAACACAGAAAGTATCCAACACAAAGAACATACTTTTAACCAAAGCAAATTATAAGTGAACCAGAAGGATCATTGTTTAAACTAATGTATGAAAAACTATTTCCAACTGCCAAGATGCTGTGCTAAAATGATCTGGTGATTATTCTCCATAACTGAAGAATTCTACTAATCATTTTGGGCAGGTGACTTGGGCGGGTGAATTAAGTGAACTAAACCATTCTTATATTATAATGCAAGCAATAGATAAGTGCCTCTAGCAACGGTATCGCACAGCACACCAGTGAGTCTCCTGCTGGTTTGATCTGCATTTTAAATGTAAAGTTTATTTCTGATGTTTGGAGTTGTTCTCCTTCTGGCCCTCACTGTAAGCTCTTCTGGTGATTGGCAGGTTTCTGGAGGAGCCCCTCCCTGCCATGAGCGCGGACCTCCAGGTCGCCAGCCCCCCCTCCTTCTGCAGTTGATGGATCTGCTGCTGCTCCGGAGATGACAGACAGCGTCAGGGCCTTCCTCCGCAATGTTGCGACGGTCAGCACACACACACACACACACACAAAACACACAAAGGTGAAGTTCATTGACAGTGAACCAGATCCATAAATTCAAAGTTCAGTGTTATTTTGGAAATGGCAGAGACACTCAATGGACATTTTTTCAGGTACAACTATATTGAAAGGGATTTATAATATCTAGCTTACTTCATGTATATTCATGTATGGTCAAAATATTACTGATAGATTCAATAATCTTGCAGCTGCCTAAAATGTGTGGGTTTTAGTAGAAATAAGGAAGGAAGCTATATAATTCTGTATCAATGCATGACATAAAACATCTTCAAACCATCAAGTTTGAAAATATTGTCAATGGAAACTTCCTCCAAATACCTGTGTCTGTTTAATTCTTCACAGCAAGCACTTAGGAGACAGTGCAATGCGGCCTTTTGGCCTTTTTTACAAGTTAGGAACAGTAACTGAAGGGGTCTTCTTTCTCGCTCTGGGTTCTTTAGGGGATCAAGGACTCCATATTGGGGATCGGAACAATCTCCAAGCTGGATGCCCGCATTCAGCAGAAAAGGGAGGAGCAGCGGAGGAGAAGGGCCAGCGGGGCCCTGGCACAGAGACGGGCACAGAGTGAGGAGCGCAAACCGGACAGGTAGACCAAAGAAGAAGCTGCGTATTCTGGTTGAGCTGCTACTGATTTGTACACCCAGCCATAGTCAGATATAACCATAGGTGTTTTTTTTGTGTCTGCATACATCATTGATATTTGTGGGACTCATAGCAGCTCTTCTAAAGAGGTTGGAACGTTGCTGCTCCCGACACGATAATCTCAGGGGGACGTCCTGTGCACCGTCCCCCACTATCTCCACCAGTCAAACTTTATTTACATCGAGGCGAAGGTTTTTCCTGACATTACTCTAAAGAGCAGGAGTTTACGGGACTCGTGAGTGAGCACTGAACTCGGGTCAACGAAATGCCCCGAGCATGCGTTGTGGTTCTTTGTAAGTGTAAACAAAAAGAGGTTGAAATTTGTTCCTTATGCTCATGTCACTATTAATGAGGAAAATGAGTTAATAATTGTGTAAAAACAACTGGTTGTTTAACTGAAGCATCAAATGCAGTTGTTTATATTCTCCTCGTTCTCCATCTGTTGCCACACATGCGTGTGAGTAAAGTCCTGTGTTCCACATACCTTCAGTCTGCAAACTGCAATCTGTTGGTCTGTCTGACTAGTTAAGGGAGAAAAGTAAAGTTAAAGGGATGCAAGTGAACAATGATGCACAGGGACATTGTATTTTCTCTTTCAGTGACCCCAAAGTAGCCAGCCGGATTTTTCAGTGCTGCGCCTGGAATGGAGGAGTGTTCTGGGTGAGATTTCTAACTTTCCGTTTGAGTACATCCTCACCGCAGACAGCAGTAGAGACTTTACAACGTGCAACATTTTGACTCTGTAAGCTCTAGTGAACATGAGGATTAAAGCCCTTCTTCTAAATGTCAACTAAAGGCTCTGTCTCTCATATACCCAGCTGCAATACACCCATGTGGTGCGGCCAATGTGACCTTCCTCGGGAAGCATGAGTTTGAAGACTTTAATTTCTCTCCCCAGCTCAGTCTGTTTCTCTTCTACCGGGTGTTCATCCCCCTGCTGCAGGCTCTCACAGCAAAGATCATCGGTATGTATGGCTGCTGGTGAATGTGGCTCGCTGTCGGTGCCAGTCAGTCAACAGGCTGTGTTTTGCTCCAGGTGACCCCTCCCTCCATGGCAGTGTGTGGTCCTGGTTAGAGTTCATCCTGACCTCCGTCTTCAGCGCTCTCTGGGTTCTCCCTCTGTTCGTCCTCAGTAAGATAGTCAACGCCATCTGGTTCCAGGTAAGGCCCGGCTGTAAAGATACGTCTGAGCAAGTGGTCTTTCTTTTTTCACAGATGAACTTAAGTCACACTGTTGAACATGACCCATGTGACCCCCAATAAAAACCTTTCAGCTGCTGGGAATGTGATTAAAAACAAGGTACAAGGCATCACTGGAGGTTTTATATGACACAACTGCAGGCACAAAGCAAGCATGCACACAGAAGTCTGAATTGCCATGGGATTCTAGCTAACGCAGCTAGTTGGAAAACATGAATAAATGTCTTAAATAGAACATATGTGAGGTGATCACTTACAGATAGCATTTCATTACATTATTTCATATAAATGTGTTTCTCCTGTCATGTTATATTGCCGTCACAAAGCAAATGACTGACGACCGTAGCGTTTATAGTCTTGTTTTTTTTTCATATGCGTAGTTGACACACGTGTAGACATCAGGCTGCGGTTCTCTGTTCCAGGATATAGCCGACTTAGCATTTGAGGTGTCTGGATGTAAAGCGCAGCCGTTCCCCAGCGTCAGTAAGATCATCGCAGACATGCTCTTCAACCTTCTTCTCCAGGCACTCTTCCTCATTCAGGTACATTTTAAATTGACTGATCAACCTTGGATTTCTTCCTTTTTAATAAATAAAGCCCTAGCTGGTTCTTCTCTGTGCACTCGTGCTATAAAATCACACCTTAGTGCAAATACCTTCAAAAAAATACTTGCTCTTCATTCGAGTGTTTGAGTTTCCGTTCATGAGTTCTCCAGCGTGTCGGACAAACTATTTCATGCCAGACTCTCAATTCAGAGAATATTGTACCGTATTTTCCGCACTATAAGGCGCACCGGATTATAAGGCGCACCTTGAATGAATGAATTAATTTTTCATATGTAGGGCACACCGGATTATAATGCGCATAACATCCTGCTGTCAAACGTTTGACGTCGGGGCGGGTGGATGTGGGGAGGTGGAGACGGTGCTTTCAGGGTCCGATCGATGCTGCGAGGTGCGTCCGCTCCCGCCGCCCCCCCTCACCATCCCCGCCTACCAAGGGCTCCTTTTAGAATAACTCATTTTCCCCGTTAAGATGGTTCAGCTACTGTAAAGAAAAGGGCGCCGTCTCTCGCTCTAATCTCATGAAGTGCTCGGCGAGAACGACAGCTTTGTTTCTCCGACGCGCCCTGAAACAAGCTCCATATCTCACGCACTTGAGCAGCTTTGGCATGTTTAGCAGAGCGCCTTGAGCGCCGTGTACAACCAGTATGGATCAACCGATTAACCAATTGATCCATATATATAAGGCGCTCCGGATTATAAGGCGCACAAAATTAAAGGCTTTTAAGTGTGCCTTAAAGTGCAGAAAATACAGTAAATGTAAAAAAAAAAAATTCTGGTGTCACACATCGTTTCTAACAAAAAGTACAACAATGAGAATGTCTACTCTCTGACTGTTGTGTTGTGGATTGTCGTGGTCCTTTAGGGCATGATTGTTAGCCTTTTCCCCATCGATGCCATTGGCCAGATGGTCAGCCTCCTCCACATGTCGCTGCTCTACTCGCTGTACTGCTTTGAGTATCGCTGGTTCAACCATGGTGAGATACTCGCGTTGCATTCTTCACCACGATCCTCCGGATCGAGTGGAGAACTCAAAACTGAGGCCGTCATTGTTTCTTTAAGGCATTGAGATGCACCAACGGCTTTCCAACATTGAGAGGAACTGGCCCTATTACTTCGGCTTTGGTTTGCCCATGGCTCTGCTGACCGCCCTGCCCTCCTCGTACATCATCAGGTCAGTCTTCGCCCCCCCCACCCCATTTAGTTTGTTCGCTCTGGGAAGATACATTTAATGTTTGAAAACCTGGAAAGAATATTTCAGAACAATCAATGAAACTGCAAATTATTGTTGATTTACTTGACAAAATACCACAAAAGACAGAGAAGAAGAGTCAAAGTGCACTCTGGAATCAGGTATCCTTTAATGAATTCACCGTGTGGAATGTTTCTGTTCTTCATTCTCTGCTTAGTGGCTGCTTGTTCTCCATCCTCTTCCCTCTATTCATCATCAGCGCTAATGAGGCCAAGACGCCATCAAAGCTGTAGTGAGTGTGAAATAAAGACTATTCTTTTCCTTAAAACAAACTAGCGTCGAGCCACTGATCACATTTGTGTTCCTCCCACTCTTTCAGCCACTTCCAGCTACGTCTCTTCTCCTTGGTGGTTCTGATCAGCAACAAGTTTTTCCACAAGACTGTCCACCTGCAATCCTCCCTGACGTCGTCCACCTCCTCAGAGAAGCTGTCCTCCCCACACACCTCCCCGGCCCGCCAGAGACCTCTCCCCACCCAGTGAAGGGGATAGTAGGGGGGAGGAGAGGGTGATTCTTCCAGGTGGATTTCCTTAATTGAAGATGATATTTGGTGGTGTATGAGGGTTTACATGTTTTTTTTTTAATCCAATCTCTTTCACGATGGTTATTGGTTTGCAGAGCCCACCAGACACATTTTCAATGTGACCTGTGCCTCACACACTCAAAAAAACATAACACAGAATGAGCTCTTGACCTTTCTCTTTTTAATTTTCTGTCATTGTTGGGGGTTTTTTCTGTTTCTGTATGTGCCATTTGAGTGACTTTCCTTTTAATAAATCACAGCACAAGAAATCACGTAGTTATAATATGTTTAAGAAAAGGTGTAGCGCCTTGTTTGTATTCAGAAGCAAAGCACAGTCTGGATGTATCCACAGTACATGTGTGCGTCATGTTGCAGGTCACGTTCCTTCCTCACAGATCGAATGTTTTAATGTCAAACGGTGGTGTCCTAAGTGTTCAGACATGAACTTGTATGGTTAAAAGGCTAAAAAAGAGGGTCTTCTTATCCTGTTTTTTTTTTTTTTGTAGAATATACAAACCAGTTCAGGAGCTGCTATGAAGAAAGATTGGTCACTTTTGTTATTTGTTAGCTTTTTGATTCTTTCCAAATTGAATCACACTACCGTCCATTTAGATGTGCATGTTGCAAATGAAGGGGATACCAGCAAAGGAAAAGCTGCCGGAGCGTTTTCAGCCTTTGTGAATCGGTAGGAGAGATGACGCCAAACTGTTGCTTCTACATTCTGTTCATTTCCCTTCAACCACTACAATGCGAAGCTCTGTTATAACATAAGGAGTCATGTAGTTGGTGTCTTTTTATTGCTCTAGTTGACCCCCCTGAAGCTGAAGTAAACCTACTTGGATCATCGGGCTGATCTATTGCTGTGGTTTACATGATGTCAATTTACCCCGAATGTTCGACCAGATGCCCACCACCACGCAGCCACCCTGACGCCGACCTTTCTCCCACTCATCGGAGCCCAATGAGCCCTGATTTTTGAAAACCATGTGCAATTATTTTAAGACGAACATAGTGTTTGTGCAGACTGATGTGTGTGAGTGAGGTTTTGTAAAAGTAATACTTCTGATTTCAATAAAATCGGTCTGTATTCAATATTTTGATCTCTGTTTGGAGCTTTTGATACTATTGGTGAGGACTAGAGAGGGGTTCAAACTCAACAGAGGAAAGATTACGTAGTAGGAGGTACAGTTTTGGGTGGTTGCCTTGAAATCTCAAATATGTTGGTCATACTGAAAAGCTATTAAACATAAAGTACTGCAGAAGAAAGTAGATGTTGTTTTCTAGTAGATGTTGTTTTCCACATAATTCAAATAATTCTGTGCTATTCAGTAGTAATGGAAAAGGGTACAAATAAGCAGCAAAATGCAGAGTTAATACAATTATTGTGAATATTTAACTAACGTTACTGCACTGCAGTAAAGCCATCTGATCTGAACCTGACAGCTTCCAAAATGTTTATCAATAATTTCAAACGATCGCATTGGTTAATTTGCCGCATAGCTGTTAACAATTGATACTTCCTCTTTTAGTCTAAGGTTGAACGACTGGTATTATTTCAGCAGTATCTTGATTTTTTTCACCACTAGCAGGCGACACGTTTGCTGTACTCACTAAGGACACGTCACAACAGGACAGCGGCAAAGTAGGAAACCAAATTTGAATGACAGCCGAAGAACCAATCAGATTCAAGTATCATTACTCTTAACTGACGCTTAACCAATAGGCGCGCAGTATAGCGCGGTAGGGGAAGGATCAGTATATGGTGAAGGTTGTGTGTGAATAGTGTTTAAGTAACAGGAGCGGAGCGGGTGAGTCTTGCTAAACATTAAACGTCAAATCTGTAAACTCATTTAATCGCACCAGTTTTCATTTTATGCTATTGTCTTGCTGTCATATGTTACGGTGTCGCCGATAGCATCAACATAGGCGAGATAGGAGGCGCGAAGCTAGGTTGTCCATTATACTGCAGCTAGCAGCTTAGCCTCGCTAGCTACTCACTTCTACCAGGATGGAAGCAGCGTCAACATTATCCGGCCTGATGCTGCGTTGCTATAAGATGCTGTCTTGGCATCAATGTGCACATAATGCCTGTTAGTCCTTAACGTATAGTGAAACAATGTTAGCTGCTGTTTATTTCGTGGCTTTGTGAATTTGGATTGATCGCCAGTACTAAAACAAGCTAGCTCCCAAAGTTAGCATTATTAAAGGTTTGTTGAGCTTGATAGTTTGTGTTTTAGCTTTTGCAAAAGCTTACAAAATCTGAAGAAAACAGGCAGAAATCCCCGCAGGTTTTCCATTGTGGGTGCTTCCTGGTTCCTGACGCGTGGCCTTATCTGGTTGGGCTGGGATTGAAAGTTGACTCATTGATTTTTTTTATGAATGACAACTAACTGGCCTGTCATTTAAACGCTGGTTTCATGTACTTCTACTGGGCAATGCGGGGCGTTTCTCCAGGGTCTGATTTGTGCCTGGCAGTCTCACAGTGGTGGTGTTCCTCCCTTTGCAGGTAGTGCGGTGAGCAATCCCAGACCTCGCCAAAATGACCAAGATGGGCTTCCTCCGCTTGTCTTATGAGAAACAGGACACGCTGCTGAAGCTGCTCATCCTGTCTATGGCCGCTGTCCTATGTGAGTCCTCCGCTGCACGAGACACGAGATCCCGCTCGCTCCAAGAACAAATCCCACTGATCCATGTGCTCTTCTTTCTCCTCAGCCTTCTCCACCAGACTCTTTTCCGTCTTGCGGTTCGAAAGTGTCATCCATGAGTTTGATCCGTACGTTTTACTTCGGTCATGTTTATATTCCAAGGATTCTTTCGATTTCGTTCCTCCCTTTTCTAAGTAACGTCTCAACCTATACCCTCCGCTCACCTGCAGGTACTTCAACTACCGTACCACCCGCTTCCTGACAGAGGAAGGATTTTATCAGTTTCACAACTGGTTTGACGACAGGGCATGGTATCCTCTGGGGAGGATCATCGGTGGCACCATTTATCCAGGTAGGAATCAAATATAACACAAATCCAATGGCACAGTACAATGTAAGCTCACTAACTTCATTCTGGCTTGTGGATGCCAATAGTGGCACTCTCTTGAACCCGTCTCTCTCTCTCACCAGGGCTGATGATCACCTCGGCCCTCCTGTACCACGTCCTACACTTTTTCCACATCACCATTGACATCCGTAATGTCTGCGTGTTCTTGGCTCCCTTGTTCTCCTCCTTCACCGCCATAGTCACCTACCACTTCACCAAGGAGTTGAAGGTAGAAAATATAATATATGCCACAATCAATTTTATTATGGTCATAAATTCTTAAAGAAAATGTTTCTTTAAAAAAAAAAAAAAAATCGGATGTTATCTTTTCAGCTCCTTACCATCACTTGGTTTCTTATGCTCAATATAAAATAAAAACCCATTCATTATCAGGGTTATCTTCTCAGACATAAACATATTACTTTCAAAGATGCAGGAGACATTGTCCAACAGATTCCACAGATTTCTCTCTCGTGGAATGTCCCTTTTTTTTAGAATCATAAGTTAATACAATATAAAGTGCTTTAATTAAATAGCCCTTTATCTTTCTCCTTCTGGTTTCAACGTGCTTTACAGGAAGAGAAGCAGCCGAAATAGAGACGCAACAACGAAACATTTTTATATGCTTTGGTGATATGAAAACGTACATTCTATTCCCGCATAAGAGCCTCTTGTCTCTTCAGGATGCAGGTGCTGGACTCCTGGCTGCCGCCATGATTGCAGTGGTGCCTGGTTATATCTCTCGTTCTGTCGCTGGCTCCTATGATAATGAAGGTATGCATGTGATGAGCATAATGCATTACGTCCATAAAACGCACATTTAACTTAATTGCTCTGTGCTACTCTACCCAGGTATTGCCATCTTCTGCATGCTGTTGACCTATTACATGTGGATCAAAGCTGTGAAAACGGGTTCAGTTTACTGGTCGTCCGTGTGCGCACTGGCCTACTTCTACATGGTGAGGAGAACACAAATCTCCAACGTGCTTTATTGAATTAATTCCGGGTGTAAAGTGGTCCTGATACGTTTTTTGTGTGTATCTAGGTCTCTTCCTGGGGTGGCTACGTGTTCCTGATCAACCTCATCCCCCTCCACGTCCTGGTTCTGATGCTCACAGGTCGATTCTCCCACCGGATCTACGTGGCTTACTGCACCGTGTACTGCCTCGGCACCATCCTCTCCATGCAGATCTCTTTTGTTGGTTTCCAGGTATGGCGAAAATGTTCTATGATCTACTCTGTTATCAAGTCATCGGGCCTCATTCACTGATATGTGCATAGAAAAGTTTTTACTTAAGGCGCAAAATAAGCTTGCAAGCCAAATCGCTGTTGGACTCGACACGTGTGCACCATTTTGTTGTCCCCCCCACATGTCTCCTTCATTATTTCTGCTTATTTTCTTATGAACTGAGAAATATCTAAGATTGTTCCAAGAGTACAAACCGATTCAGGAGAGAAAATATTGAAGAAACGTCCCTAGGTTGTGGTCCCAGATCGGTGGTAACTTTGTGTCAATGAAGCCCAGCGTCACCATTTCTGTCTTCTTTTTGTGAACCAGCCGGTGCAGTCATCGGAGCACATGGCGGCCTTTGGTGTGTTTGGCTTGTGCCAGGTTCACGCCTTTGTGGACTACCTGCGCAGCAAACTCAATAGCCAGCAGTTTGAGGTGCTGTTCAAGAGCGTCATCTCCCTGGTGGGCTTCATCCTGCTGTCCCTGGGCACTGTTCTCATGCTGACCGGTAAGCAGGCTGACGAGGTGCAGCAGTAGTTCCTTTTTACCGTTGTGTTGAACTGTAATTAAAGTTACATTTGATTTGGATCCTGACAGGTAAGATCTCTCCGTGGACGGGTCGTTTCTACTCCCTGCTGGATCCCTCCTATGCCAAGAACAACATCCCCATCATCGCCTCCGTCTCTGAGCACCAGCCCACCACCTGGTCCTCGTACTACTTTGACCTCCAGCTGCTGGTCTTCATGTTCCCAGGCGAGTGCACGCTCAGCGGGACCACGCAGAGTGACGGGGGGGTGTTCTTGTTGGTTTCTGGCTGACCGTTGCCTTCCCTTTCCTCACAGTTGGACTGTATTACTGTTTCAACAACCTGTCGGACGCCAGGATCTTCATTATCATGTATGGCGTCACCAGCATGTACTTCTCTGCTGTCATGGTACGTCTCATAAAAGAGCCCCGCCCGCCTCTCAACACTCCCGAGAGAGCCGTGGATTTGTTTTGCTTTTTATGGAACTTCAACACTTGCATCATTAAACAAACACACTTTAACAAAGCAAATGGGATGGTTTTTGTGGATGTGTGTTTTTTTTTTTTTATGTGGGTTAATAACTTTTCTGCTCGTTCGCCCCTCAGGTGCGTCTCATGTTGGTTCTGGCTCCAGTCATGTGCATCCTATCCGGGATCGGCGTATCCCAGGTGCTAACCACGTACATGAAGAATCTGGATGTCAGCCGGCCAGACAAGAAAAGCAAGAAGCAGCAGGACGCCACCTACCCCATCAAAAATGAGGTAGGAGGACTGAGGGAGGCGGCGGGTCGAGGGGGGCATCTGCAGTCGATTGACATCTGGTACTGCGTGCACGTTTGGACAGAGAACATCATTTGATTCCAGCGATCTCAGTATGTGACTGTTTATCTAAACAAAAACAAAGAACTCCTGCTGGTTCTAGATGATGCTTCCATGGTCGTAATCTTTTACCTTTCTTCCTGTAGTTCCCGATGGCAATACTCAAACAACACTGTGCTCTGAAGTCAGGAGTTCGAGTTGGTACTTAATTAATACCTGGATGTTAGGAGGTCTTGTACAAAGCTACATGTAGCCTTATTAGTATTAGAAAGCCGTTTCATGCACGGCAGCGTTATTACCAACCGACACACACAGACACACACAGCGGTAAAACAATATCAAATGATGACATACAATTGCAAAGTTAGGGCACTATATCATATGGCTGCACCAGAGACATGAAAGAAACCAAGCAGAACTGGTGTGCGTGTGGCAGATTAGATGATAGTTTGTAACAGGCCCTGCGACCACCAAAACGGGGCCCTCAATGTTCCTTTATAATCAAAGGGGTGCTCGACAGATGTTTGGGAACCACTGGCATAGACCATGATTATATTCAAGTTCCTTTCTCTGTTGTTTTTATTCCTCGGTACAGTTTTCTTGGTCTATGCACTTCACTCCAGTATTTCCATTGTATGCTGCTTCTACACAACATTTAACTCCTGTGAAAGCTAGTTGCTGCTTTTTATATTCCATTCGAGCATAAAGAGCATACTACAAATGGTCATCGATTTTTCGATTTCTCTCTAGAGCCCTAGACGTATACGACCTGCACCGGCTTCTTTAAAAGCTGCCGTATGGCAGCATTTTGGATTTTATGAGATTGACGGCAAGCTGGACAAGGGGAATGGTGAATACACTGGAGCCGAAGTACAAAATACCTTCTCGCCCATACTTTACCGACACAGCTATACCAACGCTGTACAGTGAGACCAAAGCGAACGTTTTGGACACTTGGAAGCGGGTAGGGTAGCTTTAACATGCAACGCATGGACATCAACAGCCACGGTGTCCTACGTTACCATAACTGCGCATTTCATTAACTATGATTGGCAGCTAGTGTCCCTTGTGGGTCACTGGGTGTGCCATGCCACAAACTCATAACGGATGTCAGCACCCGATGGAACAGTGCCTTTGAGATGGTGGATCGTTTTTTTTAATAATTTAAAAGAAAAATGAATGTTTAATAGTTTTTACATAGGCTACTTCCATATTGTGTTGAAATGCAAGCTGCATTGGTTCTTGCATTGTTGATAGAAAATCATATTTGTGACAAAGATTTTTTTTCCTCTTATAAAAAATTAGAGAAGGTAATTCATCTGTTGATTTTCTTTAATTATCAAATAAAGTAAGAAGTGATTAGCAACCTGAGTAGCAGATTTGAGAAAATTTAGAAAATAAAGATGCATAGATAATCGTTTTATCGGTTTAGAATCTATAATCTGTTTAGAATCGAATCGTTGACCTCGGAATCGAATCGTGAGGTGCCAAGAGATTCCCACCTCTAATGGTTAAGAGATTGCAAAATAGTGCGCAGAAGCACGTGAACACATTCAATCCCATTAATGACAACACTCAGCCTTCTCTCTTGGGGTCCTTACTGCTTTCTTGAAAGTATAAAGTGGGTCCCCTTTTTAGATGTTTTTCTTTTACTGCTAAAAAGCGATTAGACTCTTCAGAGAAGCCCACCAGTCTCTTGTCTTTTATTTCAGTAGTATAAATAAACAGCATGTTGACGGTCCCACCGGCCGAGAGGTTGAGCCTGCTGACACCCTGCATGTTCCTACCAGGTTGCCAGTGGGATGATTCTGGTCATGGCCTTCTTCCTCATCACATACACATTCCACTCTACCTGGGTGACCAGCGAAGCTTACTCCTCCCCCTCCATCGTCCTGTCGGCCCGCGGCGGTGACGGCAGCCGGATCATCTTTGATGACTTCAGAGAGGCCTACTACTGGCTGCGCCACAACACCCCTGAGGTCAGACGGTCTGAAGATTAGGATTTATGCATCATCATATGAGAGTCTCCACTAAACAATCTGAGCGTGACTTTGTGTTTCCAGGATGCCAAAGTCATGTCCTGGTGGGATTACGGCTACCAGATAACTGCCATGGCAAATCGAACCATCCTAGTGGACAACAACACCTGGAACAACACGCACATCTCCAGAGTTGGACAGGTGAGTCGGGGAACCTTCAGGGGGGGGCTCATGGTCCACAGAGCGCTGCAGAGCTGACTGAATAATGGTTGTTTGTGCCGTAGGCCATGGCGTCCACCGAAGAGCGGGCCTACGAGATCATGAGGGAGCTGGATGTCAGTTATGTGCTGGTCATCTTCGGAGGACTGACTGGTTATTCCTCGGATGGTACGTCCACACTGAACGCGTCTCCACACACATCCTGAATTTAGATTTAACTGGTTTGGATTTAAATAATCCGTTTGCAATTGTTCAACCGAACCCGTGAGCCTTTTAAGTACTTTATTTTTTAAGGCGTGTTGGATATCTCCTTCAATGAACGCAAAGAGAACTTGTCTCTAATATCTCTCTTCTGCAGTAGTTCTGAAGGCATGGTAAAGCATGTAATATCTCCAATAAGCATCAGATCTACAGTATACCTCCCGGCTTCTTTGCATTAAGTAATGATATTGCTCGTTTCCCAAATAGTCAAATGGCTTCCTCATTGAATGCAGCACAGAAAGCAATCGTAAGAAGTGTTTCTCTTAACGCTTCTCTAATTCATCCGTCCGTTTCAGACATCAACAAGTTTCTGTGGATGGTCCGTATTGGCGGGAGCACGGACACCGGCAAACACATCAAGGAGCACGACTACTACACTCCCACCGGGGAGTTCAGGGTGGACCGCGAGGGCTCGCCCGTCCTCCTCAACTGCCTCATGTACAAGATGTGCTACTACCGCTTCGGCCAGGTCTACACAGAGGCCAGTGAGTAACCTGGCCACAAAAACTCTAGTGCAATGATGCTTTCTTGTCCTGTAATACTGGGGATTTCCTCTGATCTCACTGATCTTCTCTGCAGAGCGACCACCTGGTTATGACCGAGTGAGGAACGCCGAGATCGGTAACAAAGACTTTGAACTGGATGTGTTGGAGGAGGCCTACACAACAGAGCACTGGCTTGTTAGGATATACAAGGTAAACATGGCCATTCTTATTGATAACATGGTGCCGTGTGAGTTTGACAATATAGTGAATTGGAAGTTTGATTTTCATTTATTTCACTGTATTTTAGGTCAAAGATCTGGACAATCGGGGTCTCTCAAGGACATAAAACCATCAGACGTTGGTGGAAACAGCCTTTTAGCGCACAGCACTGAACACCTTCCCCTGTGGTCTGCAGATGAGAGGCAAAAGAATTTTTATACTTTTGTTTTGGGGGAAGAAAATTGCAGAGAGATTTTTGTTTTGGGGATTTTGTGAATTATTTTCCTTTTGTAATAAACGTCTCATCTGAGATCAGAGGGCTGGTCCGATGTCCAAAAGAAAGTTCAAGAGTGCTTTGGGTTTTTACAATGGTCTATTAAAGTGGGAATAAACATGATAAAAGTTTGCCTTTTTTTCCTCACCTGTGCACAAAACACATTGGAGCGCAGTTTCCAACACAGACTAATAAACACCGGCCGCCACACATTGCGTCTGGTGTATTTTTAAATCACATAGCGTATTTGTTCAGCTGCATTTTCTTTCCCTGCTCTTCCTCAGTCACTCACGCGGCTCACACACACACAGCCTCTCCCCTCCGTGCACACCGCGTCTCTTTCTTTTTTTTTAGCAAACCCTGCAAAATCTGTTGTGAACCAGCAGACAGAAGTTGCAGACTTCGCATGTAGGCTGTAACAAGTAGTATAAGATGTGAAATGTGTACATAGTTCTGTGTTTGTGTCACATCCGCCCCACACATTAACCTTGGATCACTGGAGCAGAATACGGATAAGTGATCACACGTCCGACATTCATCCCATGAGTAGCTTTAACAAACAAATGTAGAACGCAGCATATGGTTCCTTTGCTTTATTCAGTGTTCTTGCTCAATGTGTTATTCATATATCTACAGTATGTCATGTGTAGGATAAAGATATTACAATAGACAATACAAAAGTCATCAAGTTATATTAAAATGATTAGTATTAAGGGACAGTCTAAACGCAATCGCTAGACCGGAATAATGTTTCCCTCCCAATACAATAACATTTAATTATTAAACTGCTTTTCAACATTAGTAAAGTGTCCATTAGCTGTGGTCTCGTACATTTAAGATTTGTTTTAAACATTTCCGGAGCCCCCCGCCGTCCGGTCCGCCTGCTCCTCTGGGAGGGCGTGGTTTTTTCTGTAGATGTAGGCGTTGGGATTGTCGTCCAGCTTCAGCAGCTCAGCCAAGGACGACACGCAAGGATCCGGATCCACCAGCATCGGGGGCAGGCGGGAGGCGTTCCGCTCGATGCGGCAGGACCGGCGAACCGGTGTGAGGAACTTCAGATCTTTAATGCTGCTCTTTCTCCTGGACCTGCTTGTGCTGGCCTCCTCTTCAATTGTCCTCTTGACACTGAACAGAATATTTAAAAAGAAAATACTGCGGGTTGGAAGTGAAGAGAAATAACTTTGCTCCGTTGCCTTAGTTTTGAAAGAGCAGCTCACGAATCGCTGATCAAAAGTGGATGGACTCACCTCTGCAGGTATGGGGTGGTCTTCACACTGTACTTTATCACTGAAGCGCCTGCCATCTGTGGCGAGGTCGCCATCACGCACTCCTCGTCGCTCTCTCCTTCCTCACTTTCCTCTACTCCATCCTTCACTTGTGCAACGGTCTCAGACATCTGCTGCTGCGCCCCGTCTACGATGCACTCAGAATGTGGTTTGCTGTCCTCCATTTGTGCATCGCTGCTAACATTCGTCGCCTGTGAAAGCTCTAAACGGACACAAAAAAGGACGCATTTGTGGGAGAACGATGCTACAAAGACACGGGCAGAACACATCCAGGTGTGACCTGACTGGATGACTCATTTTCCAATGCAGATCGAATATCACAGCGGAAAGCCACTGGTAGACTTACCTTCAGAGCCTGAGGGCATCGCCAGGGCTTCCAAAACATCACAAAGGTTTACCACGATCTGTCAGAGGGACACAAAGGAAAGAACATGGTTAACCACCGTGTAATATCTTTATTAAAGCAACGAAACACAGCAGGTCTCCTTACATCATCCACGCTGTCCTGCGGGTCAACGTCAGAGTTTTCGAGCAGGTCCAGAGTGATGTTCATGATCGCCGGTGCCGTTTGGCTTTGCGTTTCTAACGAAGCCCCCTCAGACTCTGGCTTGCAAGCTACCAGTCGGGCTTCAGGCTGTCTCCGTGCAGCCGGCCGAGCCTGAGGATTTAGATCTACGTTAGCTTTCGCGGGGCCTCTGGTTTTAGAGGTTTCCGCGGCCGCCGCTGCTGGTCTCTTGAAGGTCTTGCCCTTGGAGGCCAGCCAATCGGCCAGTTTCGCTCTGCAGGAGGGAACACACAAATATTTCAGTATTTCTGAATAGAAATAACAAAAAGGCGTGTGTATGAAGACGTTACCTCCTCTCCTCGGCATTCTCCATGGTGAATCTGTACTGACTGCGGGCACTTGAGACAGGCGGTTTGTTGACCTGCCTGTTTGTTGCCAGCATCTTTGGCTTTGATCTGCAAGTCCCACCTCCCTGGACGGGAGCCACGTTGGCGTTTCTGGAGCTGGCGAGTGTTTCGGAGACGACTCTGGCAGGACGGCGAGCAGTCTGGACTCCAGCAGGACGGCTGACGACAGCGGGCTTGGTCACCTGAGGCGGTCTATCCATCGCTGACCTGGAGCTCGTCTGCAGGTCAGCGAGCGACTTGGACCTGCGTCTCATCACATTTTGATCCCCCGCTTTGAGGTCTGCTCCACCAGCGGTTGGCTTCCAAATGGATCCAATTTTTGACTGCACAATCTTGCCTCGGTACATGCCGAGAGCAGATTTTGATGGCGGCCCAGCGGCCAGTGGCTTTGGAGCTTCTGCAACTTTTGCAACTTCTGCTTTGTGTTTCACAGTCTGCTGGCAGAGGAAGGCCCGGCTGTGTGTCTGACGTGGTTTGACACTAGAAGCGACTCTTTTAGCCTCCTTCTGCGCCGCCTTCCCCCTTTTCAGAGCCTCCCCAGATGTGGACTGGGGGTCCGCTTTGGGTTTAAGGGGACCGTGTTTGGTATCCTCATTTTTTATATTGGTCAGTTGGAAGGGCGCAGCGGATGTTTTGTCTCTTCTGATGGAGCACTTGCTTCCATTTGAAGACTGGGTGTTTTCCTTGTTTGCCTAAATACAATGATAACGGGTGTTAAAAATAAACTGCATGTAGTAGCGCCTAATACGACGTTCATTAACTTAACGAACTTACTTTCTTAAAGGTGCGGTTTCGTTTGGAAACTGCGACGTTTTCCATTTCGAAGCCTCGACCGGGTTCAAGTCAACGGCAGTTTCTGAAACGCGAACAAAGCGACACGCAGCGGCAGGACGAGTCAGCGTCACACCGCATCTATAACTAACGTCGTATTCAAGCAAAGGTACAAGCAGTAACTTACCTCGCTGCTGACTTTATTAAACTACTGTAAGAGGACAGCGCTCAGCCGAAGCGACACAATCCAAAAGCAACACACGTCGCTCGACTGCCGACAGGGAAAACAAAGCTCGGTTTAACTCGCGGTTGCTACGCTGCAATTGGTTACACAAGCATCGCGAGACGACAGCCCACCAATAGACTCTCAGCTGAGAACGAGAGCGGGGGGTGATTACGTCAGATCGTCCACAAAACGCATTCCTCCTTGGTTTAAAAATTTGAATCCGAAAATAATTTCTCAAGTACTGGCTCGGCCCTCGTGCCAGAAACGGATCGCCCTCAGGAGAACCGCGCGCTGCCCCTTAACCCGTCCCTGCTCCAACTATATTCCATCAAATAACTCAACAAGCAATTAGTATTATTGTGTACATCGATTAAGGAGTGTGTGAATTGAAAAATGTCTTGTCTGACGCAGGATTATTTATTTATATTCATATATATTATTTATATTTATATATTCATTCATTAATTAACTTTTCTTCTAATGTGAACCTTGTTTATGCAAGCGTCACAGACAAATTTCTAGCATATAAACCTTATATTTTGTTGACTTTTACTAGAGAAAAGTGTTGTACTTGCGGGTCAGTTGTGGCAACTGACCCCCAGTGGCAAAACTAAAGCTGTCAGGTCTTTCTCAGACACAAGTTCAGGGATGGTCCCTCAAATCGGTTCACTGTGTGATGGAATATACTTTAATCAAAGTTGTTTGTGGTCGCAGACTCGTTCCACTGATATTTCTTTTCCACATATTGTGCTGTTGCTTCAGTGAACGCAGAGACAAGGAGACACAAAGTAAACGTGTTTACATCTCTACCAATAGGTGGCAGAATATGTGTATTTAAACCTTAAATGGAATATTTACTTGTGTCTTTGTTAATTATCTCGATTACTGAGACAGATGCATTTAAGATGCGTCCGTTCACTAGTCCTATTTACCCTGCACACTAATGAATGTACATGCAGTACTGCTAACAATCACAAGATAGAGTTTTATAATGATACAGCTATCCTGGGTCTCATGTCCAATACATCAGATACAGCTGTAAACAAACACGAGATTCAGAAATTAGTTGAGGTGTGCGATACACTTCCTCATCCTCAATGTAAAAAAAAGAGAGGAGATTATCAACCCCAAACCCATTTGAGACCACCTCTTGGTTATCCAAGAGCAGAACATAACACATCATCCCACAGACCCAAAAGAATATTTCAGACCCCTGCCATATCCTTCACCTTGAATACCAGCTTCTTCCCTCAGGCAGACGCTTCAGAGTCCCCCAGTGCAATCGCTTTAAGAACCCCTTTGTCCCACTGTCCATTAAAGCCCTAAATGGCAAGCAAGCCAGAGCTAAACCCCTACAACGCAGATTTTTTAACATGTTCTATAACGGGCAGTTTGAAATGTACAGTATGTGTTGGCTGGCGAATGGTGGTTGTACTGTATGTATGCACTATGTTACTCTCTGTACTTCTTAAGAGAAAAGAAAAAAATAATCCTATGGGACAGTAAAAATCTGTTTTTCAATCTAATGCTTATGTTTATTTCATTTGATATTTATGCTTTATTTGAAACCATCCTTGTATACATCATGTAAATACATGATGTCATGGACGAGGGAACATGTATTTAGCAATACCTAATGACAGTAAAAGAATAGAGACGTTTGGTTCATTCATTTTAGTGTATTTGTAACACTTCCGTCCTAAATCTAATTTTTAGCATACAAACTTACTTTTGCGTTGACTCTTACTGTGAAAACATACGTGCTTCCGGTTTACCTGCTGCTATGGAGAAAAAAGGATTTTCAAAAATAAAAATGGGTATTTTTTTTATTTGGTTTCGGCAACGAACACGGCGTTTAAACCGCAAAAGAGAAAACGATTGTATTGCCTTTTAATAGTTCCTTCTACCGTTTTAAAGTTTAAACACGCAGTATTATAAAATCCTGTTACACATCATACATATATCTGCCCCAATATGTGGCCGCTAAAACAATTGCAGGCTGCTTAAAAAAAAAAAAAAAAAAAACCACAGTACATCCTATGGATTTGTTATGTCAGCAGCATACGTTTAAATGTTTTTGCAAAAACTTGAGGGGTTGGGATATTTAGCAAATAACGAACGCGCATTCTACATTAGAAGTTCCATATTTAATGTTAGTTCCAAACAAAACGTACTTTAGTTTGAAAGAACTAAAACGGATATTGCTAATCGACGCTACATACTTGACAGCTAACTAGCGTTAGCAAAGTTGTAGGCTAACGTTACCTCAAAACAGAACGAGTATATTCTTAAACTTACAATGCAGAATCACTGCGCTGTGTCAAACTGTACAAGTGGAAAATCCGGCCCTGAGCCTCTCTTCAGGTTCCCGCATGACGCAGAAAGGTAACTGTTGCTAAAGATGCTAACGCAAACAGGAAGCTCTTAAGCTAGCGTCACGTTAACCTGAGCTGGATGCTCGTTTGTAATCATCTAAAATACGACACGGCATGCGTTTCAAAAGCGGGGGGAACAATGTTAGAATTGAAAAGTTTAGTTATTGCAACATGTAATGAATTTGCACTGTAGTCCTGTGTATATTAAACATGTTGCAAATGATAAAGAAACTTCTATTTAACGTATGCTTTCAACACGGATATTTAGTTATGAGGTTCGTCAGGTGCACGGGCCATTGCTTCTTGCGAAAGTTAAGATGCAAAGGCCAATGTTACAATATTACTCAACTCCAAAAGAAATTCTACAGTAGCATGTGGTTCATCTGTAACTCCAACATCGGCAGCGGGTGCCGACCTAATATCCCAAAAATAATAACTTTGTTGACCTCCTCCAAAGCAGTAATAGCACGGGTAGAAATATGAAAGTATAGTGAATGGTGACGACCAGCATGGATTAAGTTATAACACTTGGAACTGAGCCATCGTGAAGTACATTGGTTTCGTCTACCACAAGTCTAAATATATGTGCTGAATGGTTTTATTCATCTCTGCTTTAGTTTATGGCATCCTCAGGAACATGCGACATTTTGTAACTCAAACAAATGGGGTCTCTTATTGCTGAGCCATTCGATCTTGTGTAACGTTAATAGTCAGCAGGCGGAGTGGTTTATAATAACTTATGCTCTCCTCAGTTGATGTTCGTTGGTGTCAGTCCATCCCCCCCTAACCAGAGATGACTGCCCATTTTGGGGATTTTTTAAAATACATCTTATGCTTTTGTTCTTTGGGGTATTTGAGGCAACCCGTAGATTCTCAGTCATTGTCATAAGTAAAGATTGGTGGTGCGGTGGGATCATAAATCACAACGCTAAAGAATGAATGGACCTTAACATTTGCTTTTAATTATGGTTCAATTTCTCCTTTCAGGTCTAAGAAGTGGGTTGAAAAATGCCAGAGGAAAGACCTCGTTGACAAGTCACCAGGCCAGCTGTACAGATTCTACAGACTCTGTGGGAAACATTTTGAAACATCTTTGGTCGATAGCGTAAGTTCATAGACAGGTTTTAAAACGGGCTCAACATTAGACAGACCTACAGTGATGTAAAAATTAACCTTTCTTGTTTGACTTTTTTTTTTTTTTTTAGAGTGCTCCGAGTGCAGCGTTGAAAGATGACGCCATACCGACTATCTTTGATGTACTGAACGAACCTCTGAGTGGTCAGGTGAAGCGCAGCAAAGAGACGGTGGGTAAAAAAATATAAATAAATCTTAATTGTTTTACATAAGTAAATGTAGGTTCTACATGATCAACTTTTTTTATTTGGCAGCTGCAGACCAAAGAAGATGAAAAGGACAACAAGGAGAGAAAAAGTTAGCCTGAACAAAACACACACAGTTATTTACTTGATGGTGAAAAAATGATTTCAGCAGCCACGTTGGTCAGATGATTAATAATTCAGTTGGTTTCTCTCTTGCACCCTTTTCTCTGTCATTTTTTTTCAGAAATGAAAATGTCTCCAGCAGACGCCACCAACACAGATGTCCACACACTCCCTGAAGAAGAGGAATACAAAGAGTATCTGAAGTCATTATTTGAAGTTCTCGCACTGCTTGGAGAGCAAAGCATTGCTCCGATAGGGCCTGGAAATGACAAACAGGATGGCCTTGGCTTAAGCAACTTTCAGGCCCTGTTGGAATATCGCATGAATTGTGGAGATGAAGCTGTGAAGAAGAGGCACGATGTGAACAAAGAGTGCTTCTCCCCAGCTCTGTTGAACCAGCTGATTGACGTGTGCGAGAAATGCATTCGCAGTAAGCTGGTGGAGGAGGTTAAACAAAATGGCTATTTCTCATTACTTACTGACGACTTGGTGAAGATCTCGGGAGAGTGGTACCTCCCCTTCTTCCTCCGTTATGTGGACCAGTCCAACTGCCAGCAGGAGAGGTTCGTTGGATTCCTGTCCTTTGAGGGGGACGGTGATGCCCTGGCAGAGACGCTGCTGTCCAAAATTACTGAAAAATGGGGCTTAGATATGGAGCAGTGTCGAGGCCAAGCTCACTCCTGCTCTGCTACGCATTTTGGTAAAATGAAAACATTTGCGGCCAAACTTACCGAGAGGTTTCCCACGGCGGTGCTGACTCAAAGATCCACTCGTACATTGAACCTGTCACTGGCAAACGGGATGGCTTTGTCAGGGGTTCAGCTCGTCTTGTCCACCTTGAAGAAGATCGAGTCTTTCTTCAGTCAGTCCCCGTTGCTGGTGGTAGAGATGGCGCACGCCATTTCAATCTTCTACCCGGACAAAGAGGAGAAGGCCAAGGAACTGAAGGAGATCTGTGAAACCAGCTGGACCGGACGACATGATGCGTTTGAGGTGACGGCGGAAATCCTGGAGGCGTTGCTACTCTGCGTGGACAGCGTTCACGACAATGAGGACATGCGGTGGAACGACCAGATCACACACAACGCCCTAGAGATTTCAAAAGCACTGACTGATTTTGAATTCATCATGGCGCTGGTTGTGCTGAAAAACACCCTGGCACTAACCCAGGCCTTTGGCAAGAACGTGCAAGGACAAGCAGCCGATGCCCACTTTGCTACAACCAGTCTAAAAGCCGTATTGCACACGCTAAAGGAAGTGTCCGACAACATCGACGTGTATCACGAGTTCTGGAACGACGAGGCCTTCAACATAGCCACTGCCATGGAGGTCCCAGTTAAGGTTCCTCGGTCGTTCCTGAGAAAGCACCAGTTAGAATCTGGGTCCATACGGCCGGAGAGTTACTACAAGGAGCACCTGTCCATCCCTGTGGTGGAACACGTCATCAGAGAAATGACCGAAATCTTCGCCGAGGACCACCTGAAGGTTCTGAGGGGTCTGTCACTGGTGCCCACTCTCATAGAGAAGTACAAGTCTATGAAACCTGAGGAAGAGAGCATCCAAGTCTTTCAAAAAGACATTCCCAATGCCGCAACCCTCTCTGCCGAGATGCACTGCTGGTGGGTTAAATGGAGCAAAAAGGGCAAAGGCGAGACCTTCCCGTCCAACCTGCAGGAGACGCTGCAGCTGCCCGATGTGAAGTTCTTCCCGAACATGCTCGCGATCCTGAAGCTAATCGGCATCCTGCCAACTTTGGGTCTGGGGGACGGCTACGATGTGGCATACAAACGCTACAAGATGTACATAGAGAACACGCCAGACCAATTCAAATCAAAGAGTCTCGCTCTTTTAAACGTGAATTATGATCTTGGGTGTGACCTGGACTCGATGGTAGACGTCTACATGAAGACGTACCCCGACAGTGAGGACGCCTCTTGTGATATGTGATTTGGTCGCTAAACCTCCACACAGGTTACCGTTAGTGGATTATCTAGCCCTCGTACTGAATTAGCATTTGATGTGGGCCGTTTTGGTTTTCCCAATAAAGTAAAGCATGTAAATGGAGGAGAATAGTTTGCAGAGGGGCATTGATTGAATGATGAATACCAAACATCTTTCTGTTAAGTTATTTGTCTCTGCTTGTCCTCTAGGTTCATGTTTTCATGTTGTGTTTCGGGGAATGTTGTCATTGTGAGTAAGAGTTAGTAGTAGTAGTAGTTGCTGTAGTTTTTTCTCCGCTTAATGAAATGTGCCATCGCGATAACCAATCAGCTGCAGCTAAAACAATTGTATGAATTAAATTACATTTTGCATAATAAAGCCATATATGATGCAGCTGATTCATCTCTTGCTTCATTTTTCCATGTAGACATTTTATATTTCCTGTGCCCTGGGCAAGATTGCATTAGGGTGCCGTTCTGTGTGTTTTTCACTACTCACTGTAAGAAAGCAGGTCAAACATATATTCATAGAGCGCATATTTAGGTAAGCTATTTCTTCCCCCATGTGGCATGAAACAAAACCAGATGCAGACTACTGAAGAATAGTATTTAGTCTAACAGTAAGAAGTCTACTTCCGAAAGTGAAGAAGAGGAAGATGCAAATCAGAGTATTGAGTCAAAACAAGAGCAGTACTGCACTTCAAGATAGTGATCTGAAAAAACGAGATTCGCTATTCACCATTAATACATTCACAGTTATATGTTAGTATGGCATATAACAAGACAAAACAATAGGAAAAGTTTTTTTCAGTTTGACAAGAGCCAAGAGTGCACTCTTGTTAATTTGGTGAATGACACGATTGCCTACATAAACATACACACTAGTCTGTAGCTTTTCATGACGACACAATTATTCATGATGAATATACTTACGATGGGTACTTTAGTTTATACTTTACTTTCGCATACTATCACATTTCCCCAAAGTCTAGCATAACTCTTTGCGGGGCCTCGTCCGCTCTGCACGGTTGGAAAGGAATAGGACGTGAGTTATCTTGACAATCTGACTCTTTGGCCGGGGCCGATGGGGACATTCTGCCCTCTGCTGGTCAACACTTCCTACTGCGCGGTTTAGTTCCTGGTTGATGGGATAACACGCTTTCGGCGACTCTTTGCTCACCACGCAACATCAACTTTTAAAAGCATGAAATAAGTAGGTTCTTAGTTTACCAAAGAAACATTAAGCGACAAATACCGTCTAAAGTGAACTGTGTCGACTGCGGGTCTTGCCTGCGGCATGGCTCTGTAGACTCTCCAGCAGGTTTGCTCACAGTAGGCTTGCCAGCTTGCAATCGCCAGCCAAGCTAGCTAACTCGCTAGCTAGCAACATTGAGGTCCAAAATGACTGACTGCTGCGCCGCAGCCAACTGTGATTATCGACAAGGAGGATCCGAAAACTCCGCTCCGCTTTTCAGCTTTCCCTTGGATCCAGAGCGGTAAGACCTGCGCTCGTTTCATTGATACTCGGGTTTAAAGCGAGCCGCCGAGCACGCAAAGGCGAGTGTGTTAGCGTCCGCCGTTAGCACTGGCGCTAGCTTAACATCATGCTGGCTAACAGTGACACAACTCTGTCGAAAATGGCGCAGACTAACGTTACACTTGAAAGAATAGTCCGTGTGATATAACTGTTCTGTTCACTCGTTCTGGCTCGGAGAACGATACCAAAGTGTGAAATTGGCCGGTGTCAGTTTGTCTTTACTTTCGGTTATATCGCAAACGACGAGAAAACATAGTTTGAAACTTTTGGGGGGGTTGTAATTTAAATTGCCATCGGCACACGACATGGACCGTCCCCGCGGTGCGCTAACGCGACTGCAGGCGCTGACGTTAGCTTAGCAAAACTCCAGAAAGCCGTCTGCTGACGGAGCTTTTTGGCCTCGTTGCGCCTCCCAAGCGGCGTGCGTCACGTTGCATTTCAATGTAACTCGCCGAACAATGCCGATATACTCTTGCATTTAACGTTAGGTAGTTTTAACAGGTGATGTCCCCGTGTAGAAATGGCGGTCTAGCGCCCCCTTTAATCCCGCTGTTCTCTCTCAACGAGCGTTAGAGGTGTTTTTCACGCTGCTTTGCGGGAGCATTGTGCAACAGGACTGTGCTTCATATGAAAACCTAAAGAATTTATTTACATTCGTATCACTGTGCAAGTGGACATGTGACCTCCAGGCCGCAGGAGGAACAAACAGATCAAATATAGACGGGTAAATCACCTTTTATAGTCGGCTTATCCACCCACCCTTTATTCTGTGCATATTTAAATAAATAGTTTAAAAATGGGATGGAATTTTGTTAAAAAATCATATAAGCAAATGGCTCATTTAAAACTGTGACACCTTTTTTTGTTCTTTCTTTTATATATTTTTGTCCGGTGGGTGAACTAATAAATGTCTTTGTATCAGTCATAACTAAGCAGAGATGTGTATGGATGTTACGTCCGTATAAAAAAGTATTTTAACTTGTACTTACAGTGATGCAGGCCACTACATCTATTTGCTTTTGACCACTGGAGTAATACAGTGTCTTTAATGTTTTATAGCATTATAAATTAGATCAGGTGCCCATGCTAAACCCATTTGCATCACAATGAATAGTTCTGAAATTGAAGCACACCGTTCCACAAACCTTCAAGAGCGTGGGACGGTTTGTCTAGTCATTGTTTAATATTAAGTGTAGAGAATATGAACGCACAAGCGTTGCAACTAATTTGTTTACATATGACTTTTGATCAGTTTTCCTCCCATTATTTTTCAGATGCAAACTATGGCTGAACAACTGTCATCGCCCAGATCTCGAATCAGAACCTCCCGAGCAGTTGCATAAGCTGTACAGACTGTGTGCAAAGCACTTTGAGCCCTCTCTCATCTCTCATCAGGTGAGAAGCTTGCACATTACCCTTTGTGTACGTTATTATAATATTAATAATACTATTTATGGGGATTTTGCCCTCTGTTTTGCTATCATTGTACCACCAGTGGTGTTCCTATTGAGTAAATAATATACATTTCCATACAATAACATGGATAAACTGGATTGCCATGGATTGTTTATTCGGGTACACCTGTTCGATCTGATGCACTTTATACACAAGCAAGTAATAATGGCCAATTTTGTGAATCGTATAATGTTAAAACACTAATGTATAAGCACAAGGTGGTAAGAATGTTACAAACACATCTGTGCAATTAATCAATATCACAACTCGAGGTACAACACAAGTTGGAGGTTTTTATTGCTTAAAATGACACCAACTCACTTTTTAAAACGGCAACTAAAACAATTTGGTTATCGGAGGGTTTCGTTAGTACAAATATATGGATCAGTAAAAGTTGCATATTTCTGTCTGCAGATTTCTTAAGCCTGAAATTGCATGTTCTTAACTCGAATATGGAAGATTAGTGTAAAAGTGGAATTTCTCCTTTATTTCCTGCAGGGCGACGCCAGTGGTGTTTTGAGGGAAGATGCTGTTCCAACAAGATTTGACTCGACAATGCCAGTGAATAATCAATCAACCTGCCACAGGAAGCGAGCTAGAGATCCTGTGAGTGCTTCATTCAATCTTTAAAATGTCCCTTCTGAACATTTTTCGCTACAATACTAAAAAGGCAACCATGTAATCATCCTTTCCATCTGCATAGTCTGAAGAGGATCCTACCTCTGTGAAGAAAACAAAAGGTACTGTAACTGGTTCAGTCATTTCAGCCCCTTGAGCTGTAGTCTGGGGTTTGAATATAGTACACTGCTATATACATATTTATTCACAGATTGAATTTGCCCCTTTCTCTAATCACCTCAGACTTTCACTCAGCTTTTCTTTTCCCATCAGAAAACACTGCAAAAACAGTGGTGGCTGAGGGGAAGCGAGAAGTACCCAGCGCAGCACCTGAACTGCAAAACGAGAACCAGACCCAAGAGGATGGAGCCAGCTCTAAAGCAAAAGAAACTCTCAAGGTCTATTTCAAGGAAATCCTGGCACTTACTGGCTTCAGCATAAATGGTGCGAACATCAGCACTGATGAGCCAATGGGAGGTACGAGAGGACAGCAGGCTTTCAATCGGATCTGCGTTGAGAAAATCGACAAGAAAGAAATCCTCCAATTCAGCGAAGACCTCATGCGAGAGGAGATCCAAAACAGCCTCCGGCAGGCGCGATTCTTCTCCATTCTGCTCCAGGATGTGACCAGTGTAGAGGGAAAAGAGCAGATCCCAGTTTTCATCAGATCAGTCACAGTCGATGGGTTCCCACAAAAGCACCTCATTGGGTTCTTACCGTGCAACATGGATACAGAGAGTCTGTTTTACATGCTGCTGTCAGAGCTACGAAACAAGTGGGGGCTGAGGATGGAGCACTGCCGAGGACTGACGTATCTGGTCACCGGCAGCATGTGTCAGAAAATGAGAGACCTTACCTCCAGGATTCTGCAGGAGTTCCCACAAGTTGTTCTGTCGCCCAGCGACCCATATGCCTTCAACATATGGATTATTCGCTGCATGCCTGTGCACTCCATTCAAAGTGTCGCCAACACGGTGGAGGAGGTGGCCTCGTTACTCAGGCGAACACCGGAGCTGTGCAAAAGGTTGGAGGGAAAGATCCAGACAACGTATGGGCATATGAAAGGGGAGGTGGACAGGATCAAGGCCGCCATTGCTGAGAACTGGGAGTACGGCACTGACGCCTTCCAGACCATGTTGGACATTCTGGAACCGTTCCTGAACTGCATCAACGAGATGATTTCAAAGGTAGACGAAGATACTGCTGAGCAGATGGCCAAGCTCAAGCCAGTTCTGAAGAATTTCAATTTCATCGTCACACTTGTTGTTCTGAAGAACACCCTCTGTTGTGTGAGCATTCTCAACTCAAGCCTCAGGGGAATCATTAGCATCAGCAGTACGCTGCAGTACACAATTTCCAATGCCTTAAAGCTGGTAAGCAAATACCAACAGGAGCTTGCAATATTCCACAGGAAGTGGTTTTCAGATGCTATCGGCAGAGCAAAGAAGCTGGGAGTGGAGGTCACCAAGCCAGACACGGACCAAGGAGACGCGGCTGAAACACCGCTGGAGGACCGTTACAGAGAGAATCTCAGCCGGCCCATCCTGCAGTACCTCGTGGCGGAGGTGAAGCGAGTGTTCAGCACGGAGATGGTGAGGATTCTCCGCTGGCTGTCTTTAGTGCCGTCCTACATGGCGGACCACAATTTCAGCATTCGCAGGGATAAAGTAGCAGATGCCAACTTGAACAACCTCGCGCGGCCAGACACGTTCTACGAAGAGCTCGGTTGTTGGGAGGTGAAGTGGAGGCACGCCAGCAAGCGGCGAATCCTGCCTACCACGGTGTTTGC